TTCTTATTCATTCTTAAATAACAATAATGTACATGCTAATATAAATAGTTTTATGAAAAATAACTGTATTTTCCAAAAAAAATAATTTAGTGAGAAGAGTGGCAATCTTTTACATTTCTTGCAAATCTCTTTAATGTCTGGCTGAATGGAAGACAGCTAGAGTCTCATATTTGTTTCTGCATTCAGTTTGTTGTAATATGTTGTTTGGGTTGAAGTAAATTTTTAAAATCTGGCCTTATACAGATATGTAACTGGAAACAGGAAGAATATTTCAATAGCTTTTTCAGGTAATGTGGCTATTCCTGTTTGGTACTACATCAAAATTCAGCTAGCAGTGGTTTTTTTAAAGGTTAGTTGCAATGTGAAACCTGAAACCATATCAATGAACTTTTGTACTCTGCTATACTAAAACCCTTTGTCCATCTTGAACTTTAAATGGATAATATCATGCATTGGTAATTTGGAAAATGAGTAATGCAGATTTTCCAAATGTTGACACATTTTATTATTTAATATTTAAAAAAAGCACATGTGTTAATATCATCATTTGATTTTATCAAAAAGTCTTTAAGTATTGGGAAGCTCTAAATTCACAGTGGGGGATACAAGTTTTCCAAACTTTAATTTTTCCTTGAAAGCTCCATTTTTTTCATTGGCAACAAAGGTATCAGTTATTTTTACTTGAAACAACAGGCTTATTTCATTCATTTGTGAGAAAACGTCTGCCAGACCCCCAAGTATGAATAACCATAATTTGTCAGTTGCTCTTTCAAGTTCAAATGTTGTTCCATGCATTTAATGCTTAGTTCAACTCAAAAAAATCACACAAATGCTCTTCCATATCCTGTAGAAATGCTTTGTGTTACTTCCCATTTCACCACCCAGAATGTTAACAAGATATGGACTCAAGGTTGAGATTTAATAAAAGTAATGATTTGTACTGCTTCACTGAGGACATTTTTAAATGATACTGAAATTTTTTTTAACTGTGAGTGTGGAGGTGAGGAACACAATGGCCACAAGGCAATTTTTGGCAGTGCCTTTTTTTTTTTGTGCTGCTAAAGCACCAACAGTTTTACCCACTGTGGCTTTTGCACCGTCAGTGTAAATATCAACACAGTGAAAAGGCAAATAATATTTTAATATTATATAAAAATAGCTTTGTCTTCATAGAAAGTGAACTATACTTTGAGAACTGCTGTAATATACTTGTACCACTATTGCTTGGCACATTGATGTTAACTATTTCCCATTGACTTTTTGTTCCAGAAGATGGGGGTTCAGCACCCCTTGATTCAACCCACACCTCTATTTCTTCACTGCTTCAATATAATCATATCACAATGTTATTTAAAGATTTTTTTTTTATTTATTCATTTGAGAGAGAGAGAGCAAGCAAGAGCAGGAGCGGGGGGGGGGGGGGGGGGGGAACCTGATGCCGGACTCGATCCTAGGACCCTGGGATCATGACCTGAGACGAAGGCAGACGCTTAACCGACTGAGCCACCAAGGTGCCCCGTAAGCTCCTTGGGGTCTTATTGAGATTTATGCCTTGGAGATTTATTAACCCATTTCAGCAGTTACATATAGCACTGTCACAACAGATCAAAAACTGGCACAGGATTTGATGAATCTAATAACAAAATTCTTACAAAATATTAACTGTCAATTCTTTCTATCATTTGGTCTTTCAACAAATCCAACACATATTTTCTGAGTATCTACCATGTGTCAGGGCACTGTTGTAGGTGTTGGGATTACATTGGTGAATAAAACTAATAAGGTCCTGTCATGGACACTTTACAATCCAGTGGTGGTGGCGGAGGGGGGGGACACAAAAAAATAGCAAAGTGAACTGATTTCAGATAACAAGTACTATGAAGATAACAAAAGAGGGTAGTATGATAGCGTGTCTGAGGATAAGGGTGCTATGTTAGGAAGAGGGTCGGGGAAGTCCTCTCCGAAGATGTGACATTTGAGCTGAGGTCTGCCTGACTGATGAGAAGGACCTGTCTTTGTAAAGATCTGGGGAAGAGGATTTCAGGAAGAACAAAAATCCTAACAAGGAGAAGAGTTTAATGTGTTCACAGAGTAGAAAAAAGACCAATGTGGTTGGAACATAGTGAAGAGAGAGTGGCAGGAGAAGGTATCCAGAAGTCAGGGCTGGAAAGACAGATTTGGATGTAATCCCAAATAGAGGTGATAATTGAAATTATGGGATGGGATAAGATGGCCAAAGGAGAGAACATACAGAGAACTGTGCAAGGCGCTGTGCCGGCTTGCAAGAGCATATGAAGCAGTTTCCTACCTTCAAAGAATTTACAATCTGGTGAAATTGGTGGGAGAAGACAAATCCCCCAAATCGAGAATAATAAAGACAGTGCATCATCAGGCCTTGCATGACATAGTACAGGTTTAAAAAAAAAAAAAGTAAAGTTAGAAAAAAGTAACAATCATTGAAAATTCATGGTAAAGGTTTTTTGTATAGGAGGTGATATCTGAGCCAAACTGATGGATGAGTTAACCTTGCAGCAGCTGAAAGGCAGAGGAAGAGAATCTCAGATAGAAAAACATGAGCAGAGACTTGAATGTTGGGGTAAATATGACAAATTTATGCAAAAGTAGAGAAAATCTTCACTGTTGAGAAGTTGTTAAATGGGTGAATGTGCTTTGGAATCTTGCTTTATCAATAGTGGGAGGGAGGGATTAAAACACCGAATGGTTAGATCTGAAATTACGGTAAAGATTAGCAACTGTCAGGACTCCTTAATTTCTGAGATTGAATAGTGGTAACACCTCCCCACCTAATCACTTTTTATTATGATGTTGATAAATGATTATTATTTCAAGAAATGAAAACAATACAAAAAGGGATAGGCTGAGATATCTCACTCCTATCTGTCTTCATCCACCTTATTTTCCCTCCTTCCCAGTAGGGAGCCACTTTTGATTTTCATTTCCGTCTTTCCAGTTTTCTTTATGCAAATGCAAACATGACTATACCTTATTTTTTGCCCCCTGTATTAGTTTCCTTGGGCTATTGTAACAAGGTGCCACAAACTGGGTAAAAATAAACTCTTAGTTTTGGAGGTTAGAAGTCCAAAACCAAAGTGTCACCAGGGCTATGCTCTCTCTGAGACTCTGGGCAGCTCCTTTCTTGTCTCTTCTAGCTCATGGTGGTGGTTGTCATTCTCTGGCACTCCTTGGCTTGCAGCAGCCTCACTCCAATCCCTGCCTCTGCCATCACATGCCATTCTCTCTGTGTGTCTCTGTCCTCACATAGAGTTTTCCTCTTCTTAAAGAACCCCATGCATGCTTGATTAGGACCCATCCTAGTAATTTCACTGTAACTTGATTATGTCTGCAAAGACCCTATTTCCAAATAAGGTCATATTCCCAAGTCCTGGTGTTTAGGACTTCAACATATCTTTTGGGGAAAGATAATTCAAGCCATAAAAACCCACATTTTTTTACACAACACTCCATGTTCACTATCCTGTACCTTCCTGTTAAAATTTTAACTATGTATCTTGGAGTTCTTTCCAAGTGATCTTTCCCAATCTCTTTTCACAGTTGCATAGTGTTCCATTATGTGACTGTCCCATAGTTTATTTCATAAGACCCCTAGTGATGGACACTCAAGTTGTTTCCAATCTTTCACTATTTAAATGAGTAATGTGTACATTTGTCATTTTGTATGCATGCAAGTGTATCTGTGTGAGAGATTCCCGCAAGTGGGATTGTTGGGTCCAAAGATAAACGCATCTGAAATTTTGGCAGATATTGCCATATTCCTTTCATAGGAGTTGCACCATTTTGCATTCCTACTAACAGTGGATGACACTCATCAAACTTTTAGAGTTTTGCTAACGTGTAACATGAGAAATTGTATTTCTGTGTAGTTTTGATGTCTTTTTCTCTTATGCACCTCCACATTTTAAACATTTTTTTTAAGATTTATTTATTTATTTGAAAGAGAGAGAGGGCATGTGCACAAGCAGCAGGGAGGGGCAGCAAGAGAGGGATGGGGAGAGAGAATCTCCAACAGACTCCCAGCTGAGCATGGAGCCTGTTGCAGGGCTTGATCTCACAACCCTGAGACCATGGCCTGAGCCAAAATGAAGAGTCAGATACTTGACCAACTGGGCCACCCAGGCACCCCTAAACATTATTGTATGTATTATTTTATGTAAATTTTTGGCCAAAAAACTATAATAAAAATTTCTGGCTTCAAGGATATAGAATCAAAATGAAATACCGTAATCTACGGAAACATAGTTAACTTAGGTTATTTGCCAAAGTTGGGCCACTACTGAACAATATGACCCATCCTCCTTACTCTGATGACTCAGGTAACCCAACAAAATAATTTTCATTTAGCTAGGTCAGATGTAATTTCATAGTAGAGAATGAGTGCACTCAACCTCATGAACTTTTAATATCCCTTCTCTCCAAATAAGCAAAGGAGCACTTACTTAATACATAGTATGGAAAGCTATGTCTTTTTAGGAGAAGCCAAGTTCCTCCTCAAAGACCCTGCTCCTTGTGGTTGGCTGTATTTGCTTTCTCATCCATCTTCTCTCAGTTGTATCATTTTTTTCTCAAGATTTTATTTATTTTAGAGAAAGAGAGAGAGTGCAAGAGCAGGGGAAGGAGCAGACTTCCTGTTGAGCACGGAGCCCAACTCAGGGTTTGATCGCACCACCCTGAGATCATGACCTGAGCCAAAACCAAGAGTCGGGCGTTTAACCAACTGAGCCACCCAGGCGCCCCACTCAGTTGTTTCATTCTCGGTAGAGGCCATTTCCCAATTTCTTGAATAAAGTGTCAATACTGACACTATATTTGAATTCTGCCAAATCTTCTCATTGTTACAATCAAATTATACCATTTACTGTCCTGATTCTAAGTTGTCACAGTTTTGTTCTTAGGGAACATCTGGAGCATCTATGTAATTAATTTTCACACTTCAGTCATGTGCAATATTCCTTTCTTTGCAGATGGTACTGTGAAGGCAAGGAGCTTGAAAATTCCCCAGACATTCAAATCGTCCAGGCAGGAAATCTGCACTCACTGACCATTGCTGAAGCCTTTGAAGAAGACACAGGACGCTATTCCTGCTTTGCTTCTAACATCTATGGGACAGATTCAACCTCTGCTGAGATTTATATAGAAGGTAAAACAAAATATTCTTAGAACATGGCCCTTGCTGGTAAGACATATATTTATAATAAATATTTATCGAGTGCCTACTGTACCACACACTCTTCTAGGCAGTGGAGACAATAGTAATGAACCAAATAGACAAAGGTTCATGGACAGATGGAATTTACACTGTAATGAGAGAGACCAAAAATAAATGAGATAAATAAATAAAATATGTAATATGATAAGTATATGAAATGGTTCTGATCACCAATTCTAACCTGTGTGTGGTGTGTGGGGTTTACAATTTAACTCAGTTCTAACACCAATTACCTGGATATAGTGTCACATCCAACAGGTTAAAGGCTTAGTTCTACAAGATTGTTCCTGCCTTACTTCAGATGCCAATCACAAGTATTAGGCCCCCCAGGTTACCCACAGCTTCTGTCTCACTTGGCTACAAATTGGAGGTTTCCACAACCCCCTCCTTGGCTTCAATTAATTTGCTAGAGTGGCTCACAGAACTCAGGGAAGGACTTACTTACATTCACCAGATTATTAAAGGATGTGATAAATGATACAAATGAATAGCCATAGGAAGAGATGCATAAGGTGAGGTCTGAGAAGGTCCAGAGTGCAAGAGCTTCTATACCTGTAGAGTTGGGGTGTGTCACTCTCCCAGTGTGGATGCATTTGCCAACTTAGAAGCTCTCCATGCTACTGGAATTTTATGGAAGCTTCCCCATGTAAGCATGATCAATTATTATCTCCATTTCCTACCCGTCTTCCTTCTCAGGAGGATGGTAGGTAGGGCTGAAAATTCCGAGCTTCTAATCATGGCTTGGTCTTTCTGGTGACCAGCCCCCATTTAGGAGTCATCCAGAGTCACCTCATTAGAACAAAAGATGCTCCTGTGCTCTTATCATTTAAGAATTTATAAGAGTTTTAGGAGCCCTGTGTGGTTCAAAGACAAATACTAGAACAAGATATGCTCATGACTTAGGAAATTACAAGTTTTAGTAGTTCTGTGCTGGGAACTGGGGGCAGAGACCAATATATGTATTTTCTGTATCTCACAGTATATATAACACTACAGAAGAAATAGAAAGCAAGCAAAAGGGATAGGAAGTACACATATGTATATTTGTGTGAATGTGCACATGCATGGGTGTGTGGGTGGGGGGAGGGGGGCTGTAGTTCTACAGATGTGGTGGTCAGGGAAGACCTCACTAATCAGGTGACATATGAGTGAAGACCTGGAGGAAGGGAGGGAGTGAGCCACAACGATACTCAAGGGAAAACCACTCTAGGTGGAGAAATCAGTAGTACCCTGACCCTGAGGTGAGAGTGAGCCTGTGTTTAGGTATAGAGATGAACCAATGTGGCCTGGAGGAAGGAAACAAGGAAAAAAATAATACATGAAGTCAGAAGTTCAAGATGGGGTAGAGGTGGGAGGAGGCAGGTGAACAGATCGTTTGGTCTTTGTAGGTCATTGTAAGGACTCTGGCTTTTACTCTGAGGGAGATGGGAAGCTGTAGAGGATTCTGAGCAGAAATGTGATATAAGCTGACTTAGCTTTTAATGGGGTCACCCTGGCTCCTGAGAATATACCTCATGGAGTCAAAGGTAGACCACTTGGGAGCATTGGACAGGCATTTACATCAGCACCAAACTTATATGACTAATTTTAGGGAAGAAATCAATTTGTGTTCCTTATATATCTACCTAAGTTTTTTGTTCCATTTTATCTCGTCTCTGAGTTTTTTCTGAGGACTCTTCTTTAGCACTTTTATCATCTATGATACCTTGTGTATGCTTTGGTTTTAGCACTTAAATATTGTATTATTTTAGTATAAATGCTCTTTCACCAACTAGATTATAAAGCGGGACTGTCTCATTCTTTTTTGTATCTTTAATACCTTATGTAGTACCAAATATGTAGGGAATATTTGATAAACATTTATTGAATAGATGCATGAATAATGATAATAATGAATAATGCATGATAGAAGTGTGTTGTATGTTTTTATCCTCAGATTTTTGGAGTACAATAAATACCTCCAGATTTAGCTCAGTTATGTCTTCCTGGAATTCACTATCTTGAGAAGTAAATCTGAGATCAAAGCTTTGCTAGCAGTGCTGAGACTGGATTGCCAATTTTTTTAATTTGTGGCAACAGAGCTTCAAACACCAACACTCCCAAGATGAAATATGACTTGTTAATATTAGGGTTGGGCGGAAGAGCATCCACCTACACCTACAATGTTTAAAATCCAATGTAATCCCTCCTTTTATTTAATCTGTGTAGGCCAAGAGCAAGAGGATTTATGGACAGCATAAAATATCTGCAAAAACTGCTCTGTTAGAGGCATCAGCAGGTGTTTTATATACAAGAACATTTGGCATTTAGGCCGGTTAATTTGAACTCTGTCACTAACTGGCCATGTGACCTTGAAAAAGCCCTTCAAATACTTAGGGTCTGTTTCTCATCTGTAAAACTGGGTGTTATAGTGTAGGAAATCACTGAGTTCGTATCTAGGTCTGAAGTTCTATAGGCCTTCAAATGCCTAGGAACTAGTTTAAGAAATTATCATCTTAAAGATTTCATGTCTTGTTTTTACTTTTCCAGGGGTTTCTTCTTCTGACTCAGAAGGGGACCCTAACAAGGAAGAGATGAATCGGTAATTCTAATTTTCTATCCTATGGCTTTAGCAACCTCAGAGCCTGAGAAAGCTGCTAATTGGTTTAGTAGAACTTGAAAAGTGTGGCTCCAGAATATGACCTCAAAAAATAAATATTGAGTGGAATTGGAGAACTCTACTTCTTTTGTTTTAAGTCTTGCCTAGAAGAAGAATTTTAATATTCCCAATATTTTAAAAATGAGGTATCACCTATCATCACTTATATCATCATACTATATCATACTTATATCTACAGAGTAAAAAGCAAATGGCCCAGTGCTCCAAAAAAAAATTCATGTTTTGTGACTAAATAATAGTATTCATAAGGACACAAAACCTGATTACCCTAAATTATATATGTGAGTGATCTGAGTAAGTCATAACCTTTTTGTTAAACAATTACACTGAGTACTGAACAAAGTTACATCCATCCATTCTTTACTTTCCCCAACCATCAGCTTATCTACTGGACACCAGGCACTTCATTAGACACGGTGGTTAATAAGAAAAATCAGATGCTTCCTACCTTTGAGAGGCTCACAGTCTACCAGAGGAAAATACATAGCAAATATAGCAAGAGATGTATACCAAGCATATAGACAGTAAGAGTAATAAAGTGTAATAGGCTATGATGTAACCATGGGCAGGGTGTATCAGACTTGGCACAAACGTCTCTTAATTGGTGGGGGAGGGAATGAGAGATCAGGAAAGGCTTTGCGGAGTTGGTGACCTTGAGCTGAGTCTTAAAAGAAGAGTAGGTGGGCACCCCCAAACAAGGAAGGAAAAAGCATTTTCAGGCAGGGGAAGCTGTGGACAGAAGGCATGGGACCTGAAACAGATGCAAATTCCATTCCCTAAGATTACCTGAAACAAACAGCAACATTTGGAATATACAAACTTGAATAAGCAAGATATGATATACAAACTTAAATAAGCATGAAATATCTCAGTTGATTATTTTCTTTAAATCTACTTTTGGTAGTTAGGATTTAGCTTCAGTTCTGTGCAATAGACACCCCAAATGACAGTAACTTAAATAAGACAGGTATTTATTTCCCATTTACATAAACATATGGATTTGGCTGGTAGAATGGCTCTACATCTCACTGGGTTCCAGTGGGCTTCCAGCTTCAACTCATTTTAAGGCATAGCCTCATCTTAGTCGCAGATTGCAAGGAATAAAGGGCATTCCCCACCCCCTTTGAAGGTCATTTCTCTTAGATCAACATACATCACTATCCTTCATATCCCATGACCAGAGAGTACTAGTATGGCCACACCTAGCTTAATGAAGGCCAGGAAATGCAATCTTTATTTGGAATAGCCATGTAAAGAAATCAGGAATTCTATTATTGTAGAAGAAGAAAATGGATGCTTTGGGGACACTGATAGCCTCTGCATCACTACATAATTCTGCTTCTGAGATGCCATCCTTCTCGGCTGGGAAAAAACTCAATCACTCATTATTGCTCATCCCTTTTCCCCCTCCATGGCTGTGCAAAGATGATAGATACAGACAGACACAAACATCGTGTTTGATATTAAACACTGCTATAAGCATCTTACATGAATTACCTTATTTAACACTTACAAAAACCCTAGGAAGTAAGAATTATTATTTCCCCATTTTAAAGATAAAGAAGCTGAGGCAAAGGGAGGTAACAACTGAACAAAAAGGAAGCCCATCTTGTCATCAGTCATCTATCCCTATAGGATATGGGAGGGAGTCCTATCTCCCAGACCTCAAGGTCCCTTCAAGTCCAGCGCTTTGTTGCTTCCTGACATGCGTGGGTACTGACACCTTTAGTAAGACTAGGAGCCTTTTAACTAGAGGGGTTGCCATCCCCTCTGAACTCTGGTTCTCCCTCTTGTCAGGTTCTCTGACAAGATCCTCAGACCTCTCTCTTCTCCACAACAAAACTAAAATAATCTCCCTTCCACAGTCTTCTTGTGAATACTTCTTGGCTCTCTTGCCCTTCAAATAAGCTTTTTAATTTAATTTAATTTGTGTAAACTTGAGCTTGTTGACTAAGGTATTTCTGCTTTATGCCATGCCAAAATCTCAGAAGCAAACGTTTATAAAGCCTGGCCTTTTGCTTGGAATGAAAGGGGGAGGGAAAATACAGAGGAAATTACAACAACAACAAAAATGTCAAAAAATTATCTTCTGCACTTGTCTTGAATCTCAGTTAGTTATGAATATTCTTGAGTCCTCAGCTGAAAGCAACTAACTCAAGGACAGTAGTGGCATCTTATCATCTTCCTGTTGACATTGCCTATCAAAGTGTATGGTAAAGAGGGGCACCTGGGTGGCTCAGTCGTTAAGCGTCTGCCTTTGGCTCAGGTCATGATCTCAACCTCCTGGGATTGAGTCCCGCATCCAACTCTTTGCTCAGCGGGAAGTCTGCTTCTCCCTCTCACCCTCCCTGTGCACTCTCTCTCTCCTTCTCTCTCAAATAAACAAATAAAATCTTTTTTAAAAAGTGTGTTTAAAGAAGTTAAGCATTTGTGGAATATTGTTGGACAAAAATTTTTATTACATCTAACTTGTAAGAAGTGATGAAAAGCTAGTAAGCTTTTCTGAAAGAATTTTCAAAAACAATGATAGGTCTGTTTTAAAATCTGCATTTTAATCATTTCTCAGAATCCAGAAGCCAAAAGAGGTGTCATCTACTCCCACTACTTCTGCAGCCATTCCTTCAGCAGCACCCCAAGCCCAGCATGTGGTGGCCCAGCCCAGGGTGTCAACCATCCAACAGGTACAAGAGTCTAAGTCAAACACAGGTGCCATGGACTGTGGTGGGCAGGCACCGTGACCATGGCCATTTTGTATGGCATGATTGTATTCTCTGTTGCAACTTCATGACTTTGGGCAGCACACTTCCATGGTCATGATAATGGCTTTGTACTTCTGAGGTAGGATATCAGCGTTTCTTATTGTTTCGGGAACATATTCTCTACCTTCCTGGCAAATTTCAAAGGAAAAGAAACTCTTTACTAATTAGTCTTGATATTCCAGTTTAATGAAGGGTATTGATTAGGGATACAAAGAGCTGTCAGCTCTCACAGTGGCCCAGGCAGGACACTCTATTATATCATGAAACTCAGTTTCGTGGAGCTACAAATAATTCTACTTTCTAAGATACAACAACCATGAAATGATTTTTTTAGAAAGCATTAAATGCTCTCATCCTTCAAGTTAATGATGATGATCATGATAATGATGATGATTATAATGCATGCTTATTGTAAAAACATTCAAAAGATACAGAAGTATATTCACTAAAAACCTTGGTCAAGGTACTACTCCCATGCCCCAACTCCTCAGAGGTACCTCTTGTTAATAGTTGCTAGCAGATAATTCCAGGCATTTTCTATGCATGTATATGAATATATATAATATTTTAAAAATATGAAATCATACGAATCTAAATGTATTTTAATATGTTATTAATATATTTATTTATGTATAAGTAAAGATATTGATCTACAACTTAAAAAAAATTTAAACAGAGTTTCTTATTTAATCCATTTAGTAATGCAGAGGGGTCACATTTTAGTTCTAATCCAGTAGTTTTCAAGCTGTGATCTGTGGAGACTCGGGTTTTATGGAACTTCCTCAGGGGTTTAGGGTTAATTACAACCAATAGAGCTCTCTCTATGTTGAGGCTGTGGGGATGGACAGCACTTATTTACAACCACCATGACTAGAAAGAAATACAATCAATTCAGTATCAAATTTGAAGTCTGTGATTCATAGACTTAGAAAATGTCAGTTTTTTGGTTTTAGATTAATAGCATATACCAAATTCTGTAGATTTGTTCTATTTATCTATCATCTAGGTAGTAATCATAGTGACAATGAATCTATTGTTTGTTCCCTTCTAATAGTGTCAGAGTCCTACCAACTATCTGCAAGGATTGGATGGAAAACCTATCATTGCAGCTCCTGTGTTTACAAAGGTAATCAAAATATTACTTCTTTCTGTCATGGCTTTAAACATACCACAGTACCCACACAAAACTGTAGGATCCAAGATTTACCGATTTAGCTCAGGATTTTAGTTTTTTATAAGTACTGTATAAGGTTTGGGGTTTTTGGTAGTTGCTTCCACGTCATTTCAAGTCCCAGATTTCTAATAATAGTTTGCATAATAAAAGGAATGTCTTCCCCACTCACCACATTGATCTCTACACAGCCATCTTATTGCTGTTAAATGGGGTAGCCACACCTAGGGGTCAGGTGATAAGTTTCTAGCCACTCTCTACTCCAAAGGTTTCTCCGGACTTTCAGAAGAATCACGTTGCAGGCACATGTCTCTTGTGTTCAAGGAGATGGAGTTAAATGATCTTAGGAGGCTTAACATAAAGGAACGCTCTAGGATAAAGAACTTTCTTTTTCTATTCCACAGTATCAGCTATTGCGGTGGCGTCAAATTCTGAGACTCAGAGTCTTTGTATTCAGAGCTGGAAAATTTACTCAAGCACTTTCATTTACAAATGAAAACACAAGGGAGGTCCAAGGACATGAAGCAGTTTATCCAAGGTCACAAAATGAGTTAGTGGCAGTATCAGGACTAGAAACAAGCTCTCCCAATTCCCAGTCTATTATTCCTTTCTTTATATAACATACGTTGTTTATGCGTTGCCCAAGACAACAAATTTAAAGGTGAAAATTGAGTCACATTTTTTTTTTGGTATTATGAAGACCACGTGGATGAAATCTATACCTGGATTTATAGCTTATTGTTTATATGAATGCCAAACTTGGGCCCAAAGAGATTTTGTCCTGTCAGAGGTATGCTTTAGGTTAGAGCGGTGGTTCTCAATCAGAGTTAACTTTGCCCCCACCCACCAAGAGACATTTGCAATGTTTGTAGATATTGTTGGTTGTCACAACTGGAAGATTGTGCTGTTGGCATCCAGAGATGCAGCTAAACATCCTGTAATGCATAGAATGACAGCCTCCTGTGGGGTGTCCTGACTGGGTGGGGGCCAGTGGGTGTGGGTGGTAAAACAAATTCACCTAAGGCAGAACAAAGGAGATGGACAGTAGTTGACTACACTGCAAAGAAGCAGCAGGCCAGATAGCAAAGAAGAGACGGTCTACGAGGCAGTGGTGAGGGTCTAGAGTTATAGGGTGGAGTGAGGCCTTTATGCAGATGTATGGACTTTTCCCTTTTATGGTTATCTTGGAACTATCCCAGGTAGTAAGTTAGCCCATTGGTCGGTTAGAAACTGTGGCTTAATGAGCCTGTTTGCATTCAGCTTGGTGGTTGCTGTGGGCAACTCAATTAGCTACCTCTAATTGTCTCTTTTTTCACTACTAAGTCACCTAGTCTTAAAACAGAGCTTAAGTGCCACAGAATCAGGACATTTTTTTTTAAAGATCTTATTTATTTATTCGAGAGAGAGCAAGAAAGAGAGCATGAATGGGGGAGGGGTAAGGGGGGAGAGAGATGCAGACTCCCCGCTGAGCAGAGAGCCCAACGCTGGCCCAATCCCAGGACCCTGAGATCATGACCCAAGCTGAAGGCAGACGCTTAACCGAATGAGCCACCCAGGCGCCCCGAATCAGGACATTTTAATTTTTCATGCCCTTTTGTCACACCCTAGAGACAGTGTTGACTCTTCAAAAGAAACTAAACCACAGAATAATTTATACCCAGTCCCAGCTGAAGGGTCCTCTCTCCTCTTCCTCACCACCACCTGCTCAGCCAGACACCAGACAGGTGTCTTTGTCTCCTGCTCACTTTCAAATCTTACCAGGTGTTCTCTCTTTCCTGCATCTGAATCACCTAGTGGATACCTTGGTACAACATTTAGCGCACTAATAAAGCTGTTTGCTTTTCTGTCTCTTCCAAGCACCTTGAAGGCTATCTCTAATATCTAGATAGAAGTCTATGAAGGAAACAGTAGGCCCAAAGCAGTTTTTATTATTCCAATAAATCCAATAGGACTTTAGCACTTACTCTTTACATTTAATTTTCATGGACTGGTTAAAAGAACAGGTTTAGCTGCTTTTGTATGGTGATTCTGATACCTCCTTGCAATTAGATACTCTAATGGGCAGATTCATATTTGCCTTGACAAATAAAAATGGAAAAATGAATTAATCACTAGTTACATCCTGGTCAACCCTTTGTAACTTGAAAATATCATAGATCCAAATGCATTTAGTACACCTAGCTTTGCCTAGCCTACCTTAAACATGCTCTGAACACTTACGGTAGCCTACAATTGGGCAAAATCATCTAACAGAAAGCCTATTTTATAGTAAAGTGTTGAATATCTCATAGAATTTGTTGAATACTGTACTGAAAGTGAAAAACAGAAAGATTGGATGGGTACAGAATGGTTGTCAGGGTATTGGTTGTTTGCCTTTGTGATGGCGTGGATGACGGGAAGCTGTGATTCACTGCTCCCGTCTATCATTACAAGAGAGGATCATACCACGGATCGCTAGGCCAGGAAAAGATCAAAACTTCAAAATTTGAAATACAGTTTCTACTGAATGTGTATCACTTGGGTGCCATCATAAAGTTGAAAAATCATAAGCTGAACCATCCTAAGTCAGGGACTTAGATAAATCTCCAAAAACATTAGGTACGTGGTGGGGAAACAGTCCTTAGTACAAAGACCCAAACTCTGAACAGGCTTTCTCAGCCCTCAGGAAATGTGCCTTTGCCTCCATAAATGGGCTCAGGATTGTTCAGACGTAGGGCACAGGGATGGGATAGGCTGTGGCTCACATTCCAGAGAGACTTATCAGCAACGGTGTGCTTGTATTAGTTTCCACCAGTGAGGGCAGAATGGAGGTCATAGTCATGGCCAGTGTCAGAAAATTTCTGAGTCAGGGCCACTGATGATGGTAATCACATGGCATGAGCCATGATAACTGATCATATTCATATGTTTGTTTGGGTTATTCCTGCTTTATTTACTTCTTTAGGGACTTCTGGCATTCCAATCCCTGTGACTCACTTTCTATACTGCCCAACTAAGCATTTCTTTGCCAGTAATGGCAAGAAGCCATTTTTCTAAGCAAAAATTAGAGAGCAGAGTTTTATTTAACTCCTTGGTGATAGGGAAGTACTAACATTATCTTCTTTTTAAAGGTTAGAATGAAAAGGAGGGTTGCCCAGCAAAACCTGATAGCTTAAGAGAAGAGCTACCATATCTAGTTCACTGCTCTACTTCTAGGTAATACCTATATTTTAAAGTATTTTATGGAGATAGACCAACCTCCATCTTCTATACAGTATCAAAAGCACTTTCATTCTATTTATGAGGAAGAAAATAGTGCTCACACTTCTTGAGTGCGAAGGGAGGTGGATGATCAAATTAGATTAGAATCTTACTGCTATGGGTGCTCCCACTCCAGCAGCAGCTGCCCTGGCTGGCTTTCAAGGCTGCAGCAGCCCTGGCTCCAGCTGCTTCAGCAGTAATTTGAAGAGTGCAAGGGGGCAGGGGAAGTGAGAATTTGAAGAGCACCTCATTATATAACAGCAGAAGCAGGAAAACCCTAAATAACTGGGCCAGTGGCTGGATCCAGACTTCTAAAGCTTACATGGGCCCCCCCTTCCCAGCCCAACAATGCCAGAAACTCTTCTGGCTCAACTGTTGCTCTGGGCACCTGTGCCCACCAAGGGGTAAAAAGGTCCTCCGTGAAACAGTTCTTTATCCATAAAGACTCCTTTGATCCAACTCCAGCCTAAAGCACTATACACGTTCACTTGCAGCCGCTCTCTCCCAAGGTGCACAAACATCAACTGGATTAAAAAAAGGAATAAAATGGGGTACCTGGGGGGCTCAGTCAGTTAAGCATCTGCCTTCGGCTCAGGTCATGATCCCAGGGTCCTGGGATCGAGTCCCGTATCAGGCTCCCTGCTCGGTGGGGAGTCTGCTTCTCCCTCTCCCTCTGCTGCTCCCCATGCTTGTGCTCGCTCTCTCTCTGTCAAATAAATAAATAAAATCTTAAAAAAAAAAAAGGAATAAAATGACAGTATGAATCTTAAAGTTGACATCTTTTAACCAATAAGGGAGAGGTCCTTTCTGAAGGTTATCCCTATATTTGTGGGTATAAATCTGAGCACAAACTATGTCCTTTCAACTCACATTTAAAGCACCTGGGACAGTGCTTGACATAAAGCAGGCACATAGTAATATTTATTCTGTGGTGAATAACTGCCCTTTCAGCTAAATAAAGAATTATTGCTTTCATTGCTTTGTGGCTTCAGAGTATCTTTAGGAGCAATAGAGAAAAAAATCCCATATCAAATGGCTATGGAAGAAATGCTTCTCGAGGCTCTGTGCTGTCAAGTCACCCTACAAAGAATGTCTTCCGAGATTATCAGTATGGTGATGACACACAAGACAGATTTGTTCTTTGGATACTCTTTACCTCAGGAGGTTGTCCTCAGCTTAGTAACTTTAGTCCAAATCCATAATTCCTCGTTAAGACTAATTAAATCTTGGGCGCCTGGGTGGCTCAGTTGGTTAAGCGACTGCCTTCGGCTCAGGTCATGATCCTGGAGTCCTGGGATCGAGTCCCACATCGGGCTCCCTGCTCAGCAGGGGGTCTGCTTCTCCCTCTGACCCTCTTCCCTCTCATGCTCTCTGTCTCTCATTCTCTCTCTCACAAATAAATAAATAAAATCTTTAAAAAAAAAAAAGACTAATTAAATCTTTGTTAGTTGGGGACTATTTCATTTATCTTATTCATTTTCAGTGAAGTCAAGATGATTATGATCAGGTCCATAGACATTGTGTGTGTGTGTGTCATTAATAACAGCCTGAGACCTACTCCTCTGTTGAATATAGCACCATCTGCACTATGTTCAAATGGTGTGATTGGTTTGGACCCTGGTGTGAGTCAATTCCTTATCATGAGACTTTTGTAGAAAAGCAGTTTTCAGCAATATCAACTATCATCGTCCTTCCAACTATGACTTTCAACTTTTTTTGAGTGGCTTGTAAGATGACCCTTGGCACCTCTCTTAACTGAGTATTGATGATGTGTCAACTGGAATGAGGTTGCATCTCATATCATAGACACTTAGCAGGCATATTACATACACTGTAGTATCTGAGGTACCTTGGCTGGACTCTCAAATAGAACGCAGGTCTTGACCTTCAATGTCAAGTGAATAATTACAACCAATTAAAGTTGGTCTCAACTGTGAGCAACATATTCTCTCAAGGATATCCTTTGGCAAGCAGGGCTTGGGTCTAACCTCTACAGACTGAGAATTGGCTGATTTGTCTGAACTGCAAGCCATGTCAGAACATATAGATTGACTTCATTCTTCTCACATCCCCTTAAAAAGGATGCCATATTTAATTTATTCAATCCCTTCTGCCACCACTTTTTTCTTTCTTGGTCTGTTTTTCTAATTTGTTTGCCTCAAGAAATGAAACTCTATCTTGTATGAATCCCAGGGAGATGTCTGACTGCCATTAAAATTTTCACTAGGCCTCAAAGCTGCCATGTCACAGAGAATTTGATCAGATGTCAGGGTGGAGGGCATATCTACTGACTTGCCAGGAGCACCCAAGACTCCTTGATTTTCCCTGCTTACTAAGAACATTCCTTTCTTATCACTAGAAGTTGTTGTTTGGGGTAGATAAAGAATAAGAAGGTGTTTGGGGGTATTTTTTTGTATTGTTGTTGTTTATCAAATAGTTCCTTATTAATTCAGAGACCCCTCTGTACAAATCTCATCTTGAATTACTTCAGCAAACAAATTTGGGAGTGCAAAAAGAACAAAACACTAATGTTGAACTACAGCGCCCCCTGGCCTTCCGATATCAACTTAACATACCTCTGAGGTAAAAGTCCTCTACTACGTATAGCTAAAGCTGCGTGCTTATCCTCCACCTCTATATTCCTTAGACAAATGTCATAAATATGATGGGGCCATGCCATGCACAAATTATCATAAATTGTTCATAAAATAGGTATAAATAATCACAGGCTATTTATAGGAGCGAATGACAAAAGCAAAAAATTAACCAAATACCGGCTTTTCCTTTCTCTGATGCAGGAGCCGATATTTCCTTAATGCAGATCCCCACATAATAACAATAGAAAACCTTGCAGCATTAGTTACTAAGAGAGCTTGTGGAGGAAGTTAATCATAATCTTTCCATGTTTATAATGTTTCCTCCAACATTAAAAACAATAATATGAAAAAAAATAATATGCCCACACACATGCCAAAGAAGAATTTCATAATCAAATGAAGTACCAGGGGCACCCAGGTGGCTCAGTCGGTTGCATTGGACTCTTGGTTTAGGCTCAGGTCATGATCTCAGGGTCCTGGGTTCGAGCCCTGTCTCAGGCTCCACGCTTAGCTTGGAGTCTGCTTGAGAAGTTCTCTCTCTCCCTCTATTCCGCGTCTCTCCTCCCCCTACTCGTACTCTCTCTCTCTCTCTTTTCCTCCCTCTCTCTCTCAAATCAAATGAAGTTCCAACTACACAAAAGAATGTGTGACTTTAAGCTCACAAATCATGAGTGAAAGACTGGCTGTGAATGGAAACTGTGAGTGCCATTCTCTAGTAGAATCTATTATAGAATATATTGATATGATACAGTTCAGAGTGGTTTTGTAGGGGCATCTGGGTGGCTCAGTTGGTTAAGCTTCTGACCCTTGATCTCATCTCAGATCTTGATCTCAGGGTCGTGAGTTCAAGCCCCACGTTGGGCTCTGCTGAGTGTGGAGCCTACTTTTAACAAACAAACAAAAACAAAGTGGTCTTGTAAACATTTTTTCATGGATGTGTGGAAGAGCATTTAATGATGCCTTCACAAAATTACAACATATTTGTGCTCACTTCGGCAGCACATATACTAAAATTGGAACGATACAGAGAAGCTTAGCATGGCCCCTGTGCAAGGATGACAAAATTACAACACATTTTACCATGATATCAGACTCCATTTGTGACTATGATTTTATAGAGATTGTCATTGTTTATATCCCTCGACAGATCATTGAAGCTATACTATAAAGAACACATAAGGAAAACAAGAAAACAAAATAAAAGTCAATTTCCAGGACTACAGTATGTAAACACGACAAAGCCAGGAAAAATGGAGTCAGTTACTTGAGCCACAGAGATGTTCCACCTCATGAACAGTGACATCCTTGTGTGAAAAAATACATTACTCCCATGTTGACTACACCTAATAGATACTCCTGCAGATTTCTTAAATTATTATTTCTGGAAACCAAACTCCACTTGGGCATTTAAGAACAGAAGTACTTTACCAAAAGTCAGCATTTTTCCAAACCCTCCAAATGTGTCACCTAGTATTTAATAAAGTTGTCTGGCGCTTCATATGGGCTCAGATGATTCTATCTTCAAAAACAGACTCAATGAATATCCACAGTATTGAAACTGCTGGAGATCTAGAAGATTTGAAGAAAATCCAAATATGAAGGCGATAGTATCTTTTTCTAAAATTCAGCACTGAAACTAGATTCCAAAAATGTATACTTTTTGGCTCTAACAATATTCTTCTCATTACAGATGTTACAAAATTTATCAGCCTCTGAAGGTCAGCTGGTTGTCTTTGAATGCAGAGTAAAAGGAGCTCCATCTCCTAAAGTTGAGTGGTATAGAGAAGGGACCTTGATAGAAGATTCTCCAGACTTTAGAATTTTACAGAAAAGTAAGTTGATATTTTAAAGTTATTTTTCTGATAATTAATTTTTATAAATGTATGGTATTCATTTATTTCTCTAACTTTTTAACAACTAATTTAAAAAATAAAAGAAAAATTACTTGTAATCATAATCCTCTAAACTAAATCCTAGTAATATTGTGTTGTCTATTCTCCAAAAATTTCTCCATGCATATGTTTTTCAAAAATAAAAATAGGGGCACCTGGGTGGCTCAGTCATTAAGCGTCTACCTTCAGCTCGGGTCGTGATCCCAGGGTCCTGGGATCGAGTCCTGCATCGGGCTCCCTGCTTAGCGGGAAGCCTGCTTCTCCCTCTCCCGCTCTCCCTGCTTGTGTTCCCTCTCTCGCTGTGTCTCTGTCAAATAAATAAATCTTTTTAAAAAATGAATAAATAAAAATAAATCATACGCTTTTTTGAAAATTGATTTTTTCACTCAACATATCATGAACATCTTTTCATGTTAATGAATATACTTTAAAAACAAATCAATATTTTATATTTATTTACTCTCCTGTTGTTGAACATTTAGATTGTTCACAAATTCTTACTTTTGTAAACTGCTTCAATGCATATAAAAGCAAAATCATTTGTGAATATCTATGGAATAAAGAGTATTAGGGGTGCCTGGCTGGCTCAGTTGGTAGAGTATGCGACTCTTGATCTTGGGGTTGTGGTTTGAAGTCCCACATTGAGTGTAGAGATTACTTAAAAATAAAATCTTAAAAAAAAAATAGAGAGTACTGAAACTGCTATTATAAATTCACCCATTTTTAGGCTTTCAATATATATTGCCAACATGCCTAACCCAAAAGGTTGAGCTAAATTGAGGATAATCACATAATTGATCATCCAATCTGGGACACTTTGGGAGTGAAAGAGACTGCTATTAATAATTACACAGAGATCCCAGGAATAAAACAGGTCTATCCCAAATGAACTGGGACACGTGTTGTCCTAGCTATATTCTACCACAACCAACAATATATGGGAATGCCATTTGCCTCATACCTTCACTAATAACGGGTATTAAACATTTTTTAAATTTTCACTAATTTTATAGGTCCAAAATGGGAACACTTGTTTTAATCTGTACTTCACTAAGTAAATGTGGGGTGGAACTTTTTTCATGTTTATTGGGTCTTTGTATTTCTTTATTTTTAAAATTACCTGTTCATATCCTTTGCTCATTTTCATACTGAGGTTTTGTTCTTTTTTACTGTAAGAATTATTTATATATGCAAGTGGTCAATTCTTTTTTTTATCATATACTGCTTTCACCTTGACCCATTTTAGTCATAAAATACATTATAATTTATTTGCTTTCTTTTAATTTGTCTCTGCTTATCACTGATACATGAGTCAAACTGCTATCAGGGTTGTTTTGTTTTTAAGTTTTTTTATTATTTATTTTGACAGAGAGAGAGAGTCAGCGAGAGAGGGAACACAAGCAGGGGGAGTGGGAGAGGGAGAAGCAGGCCTCCCGCAGAGCAGGGAGCCTGACCTGGGGCTCCATCCCAGGACCCCGGGATCATGACCTGAGCCGAAGGCAGATGCTTAACTACTGAGCTATCAGGTTTTAACAGTAGCAGCAACAATAATATAATCTGAATACCATTTAAACTTGAGAAAAAAAACTTTAATAGTTCTATCAGTGTGGAAGGTTGTAACTAAGTTCCACAACTCTTACTGAATGTCTGCAATTGAACACCGGTATTCTGTATTCAGTACCATGCAGGCACTTTCAGGAATGTCAAAGAATTTTACACTGTGGTTTAAAGCAGGTTTAAAGAACCCGCTCTCTTGTTATCTATCCTGAGGCTCTTGTTATCTATCCTGAGGCTCTCTGACTATGAAAACACTTGATAGGGGTGCCTGGGTGGCTCAGTTGGTTAAGCGACTGCCTTCTGCTCAGGTCATGATCCTGGAGTTCTGGGATCGAGTCCCACATCGGGCTTCCTGCTTAGCAGGGAGTCTGCTTCTCCCTCTGACCCTCTTCCCTCTCGTGCTTTCTATCTCTCATTCTCTCTCTCTCAAATAAATAAATAAAATCTTTTAAAAAAAAAACAACACTTGATAGTCAGAGAGTTCTTCCTCCATCTTCTATATGCAAATATCCTTTGGAGACAGAATACTTTTTTATCAGGCAGGTACAGTGTAGTGTGAATAAATTAATCAGATCTAGAAAACTTAGAGCAGGAGGTATAGTCTATGTTTTATTAGGATGTGAGAAGCCTAGCCAAGAATGAGCTCTCAGTCTTCACAAACCTTGTTTCAGGTATAGCTGAATGGGTACCAGTTAAAGCAAGTTGTTCCTGAATCCCTAACTCAGTCACTTTTCCTCACCTAAGGCTTTATGTGTCCCAAGTGGAATCCAGGTATGTCCCAAGATATGGCAATATCAGCTTAGCAGCTCTCTTGCTGCCCTTCTGTGACAACTGTCTTGTCCCTGTCGAGGTCATTGGTGCTTTACTTCCACACTTACAGATTAACCGTATCAAATCACTCATGAGTATACAAGAGACTGAAATTCTATAGGAAGCTTCTAATGAAAATATGGCCTCTCAGTAAAAGAAATGCTTAGATTCTTTTCATTTATTTTTTCTTTTAGAACCTCGATCCATGGCAGAACCAGGTAAGGATCATTTTAACTTTAATTTGTTAGCGTGTTAGCATGTTAGCATTAGTGATTTTACATATATATAAAATATATATACATAAATCAGTGATTTTGTATATCTTATATAAATAATAAAACATATTGCTGTTACACTGGTGTCAAGAAAAAAATGAAAAATATGGTTTTAGAAACAGGATTCCAACCCACTCTAGCTATTACTGTAGGAGAAGGAAAGGAGGGGAGCACATGCAAATTTGTAATTTATATCTGATACTGAACATGAATGCAGTTAGTTCCTGGTTTTTAAGGGATGTTTCTTAGGAATAGTTTCCCTCTGTTTTTTGGTCCCTACACCTGACCTCCCAAAACTGGGCAGAGCAATTTCCATGATGCTAGATCAATTCCAATTCCACAGCTTATGAGTCTCAAAACTTATCCATCAGATTTTGAAATTTGCAGAATCAATAAAACATCCATGGTGTTGTTAGATTTGGATGGGAAGATACCAAGATGACATGGGAGTGATGGTAGGTGAAGCTCTTACCTCTAGAAAATGCAAGTTACTCACAAACCACAGTGTAAGCATCTGAAAAGTCTTCTCTGTGATCACTCTGGAAAATTAGATTGTATTTGTACCCCTGGGTAAGAATGATGCTTTGGGATTTCATTATTATAATTCTCTCTTCTGAAAAATGCATGGAAAGGCATTCCAGAAGTAGACATGGAACATCCATATAGCACAGCCCTACTCTAGGGCCTTGGGGATACATAAGTAAAGAACAGAGCAGCCTTACTCTTGCATTGCCTGTAGTGAAGTGGTATTTTTCCCCTTGAAAATCTTTCAGGTTTTGACACTGTTGTCCAGAGCAGGCTTTTCCACTAGGCAATTTCATACACAAAATCATCTGAGTCACCCAAAAGGGGTCCCTTCCCAAAACAAGTGCTACCTTTCCCAGCTCTGAGATCTAAAATTTCATAACCAGAGAGTTCTTCCTCCATCTAGTACATGCAAATACCCTTTGGAGGCAGAATACTTTATCAGGCAGGTACAGTGTAGTGGGAATAAATTAATCAGATCATTTTCTGAAAGTGGTTGTTAAAGGCTGAGAGTAGAAATGTTTGGGAAGAGAAACAGAAAGAGAGAAGGAAACATAGTCCAAGTGCTCAGAAAAAGTACAGAGAGGCACCAAAACCAAACTTTGCCTCTCCATCATTTAGGATTCTTGGCAGCAAGTGAAGAAGACCTAACTAGAAGTGGCTTAAGCATTAAGAAAAATGTATTTTCTTACATAGCAAGATGTCCTGAGAAATGTCTTGAGATTGGGTGATTTCGTGTCTCCAAGATCATCAGGGGCCAAGCCTTTTTCCCATTTCCCATTTCACTGTCTTCAGGCTTAGGCTTGTTTTACTTATCTACCCAAGAAGCTGCCACAGTTCTGAGTATTGCATGCAGACAACAACACTGCAGGGGCAAAATTAGGGAACACAACTCTCTTTTGTTCTCTTCAGAGAGCAAGGAAATCTTTCTCATAAGCTCCCCAGAAGACTTTCCTTCCTTCCTTCTAAAAAAAAAAAAAAAAAAAAAAAAAAAGACTTTCCTTCCTATTTCATTGATTGGAATTGTGTGGTGCATGCCATGACTTAGCAAGAATAGAGCTTAGTGTGACCCATCATGGTTTGCCACCTGAGACTGGGAGAGGCCAAGTTGCCTTGAAGCACATGACCACTCCAAGGAGGGTAGACAAAGCCAGAATTCTATTAGGAAGGAAGAAGGAGGATGAAGAGCTATGGAGCAGGTACTCAATATCGTCTGCCGTGGCCTCCTGTCCAGTTTTCCTAGAGGCTGGCCAGCTAATTCAATTCAGTTATCACGAAACAGTGAGATGCCAAGTCCCTCCTAATACAAACTATGTTTTTGTTAATTTTATTTTTAGTGTCAGGTCCACTGAGTGATAACTGACAGTTTATGCTACTGTCTTATACTTCTCTTTATGTCAAGGAATATCTAACTATAATAATTCTAAGCTACAATCACGTGGTTCAATCTGAAAATCACTTTTGTAGTTATTCAAAGGGGATTCATGCTGTGTGTTGAAGTAATCCATAAGAATTACCATAGCATTGCAAAGGAAAAGATGCATTTCACTCTTCTTTCACCTGGAATTTCAAATTACTCTATCAGCTAATTACTACAAGGTCTTCAAAATATTTCTTGCCCAGTTTTAAATTGTGGCCCTCATTTAAAATTACCTCAGTGCAAAAGTTCCCCACAGACATGAGAGATGTAGATTTTAAAATGTTTTATTAATCCTTTCATTTCACACAAATCTCCTTTTGCGTTAACTCCTAACTTGTTTTTGTGATTTGTAAGTTTACTGTTTCTCAGTTCTATTTTTGTCATCTGGACTGATGATGTAAAAGCAGAAATAATCTGGGAATTCACAATATATTAATATTAATATATTAAGATATTATATTATCATAAGATCCTCTTGCCAGTAGTGGAGTTTTTTGTTCTACATCCTTTGATTCATTGAGCCTGCTCATCAGTCAATCCAATCAAATAATTGTTTGAACTGATTATTTTCAAACAATTAATAGAATCAACTTCTTATACTGACTTTTATAGAATCATCATCAGATATCAGTAAATTTTATAATTCCACTTCCACAATTAAGTCAGTAACCATTCTGTTTTATTGGTGTTTAGAGGAGATTTGTACTTTGGTCATTGCTGAGGTGTTTGCAGAAGACTCTGGATGCTTCACGTGTACTGCAAGCAACAAATACGGCACAGTGTCAAGCATTGCACAGCTCGCTGTAAGAGGTAATGGCGCCTGAAAGGTCAGAACAGTCTAGACTATGGAACAATATCCAATTTTCAATTTCTTTTAGCATTTATGACCACCACCGCCGCCCATTATCCTGCTTTTATCTCTGATATTCCCTAAGAAAACATCTCCTTTGTCTTTTATAAACTTCTAATATTCTTTCCAAAATGGTACTTAGATTTTTAGTTTAGTTTTTTTTTCCTATATCTTCACCATTCTTTAATGCCCCAGATTGTGGTCACTGTTTTTGACAGGCATTCTCCCATTAACATACTCATCTGGTTTGGATACATGCCCCAGCTCACAGTTACAATCCTATCTCAGTTTTATTGAGTAAGGCTAACAGCTCAGGTCGTGCTATTGTTCTTTCAGGAAATGAAGACCTCAGAAATAATGAGTCTCTTCACTCAGCCAATTCCACCACCAACCTGGCTGTTATTGAGCAACAACCATCCCTACCCAACCCAGATCCCCCTTCTGTGGAACATCCCCCTAAACCCAAACTCGAAGGAGTTCTGGTGAACCACAATGAGCCCCGGTCCAGCTCAAGAATTGGGCTCCGTGTGCACTTCAACCTGCCTGAAGATGACAAAGGAAGTGAAGCATCTTCTGAGGGTGGCGTGGTGACCACCAGCCAGACCAGGCCTGATTCTTTCCCGGAGAGATTCAATGGACAGGCCGCAAGAATCCCTGAGCCTTCTTCACCCGTCAAAGAACCCCCTCCAGTTCTGGCCAAACCCAAACTGTAAGTAAAAATTAAAATGGATGACCAAGGATGCCTGTGAGTTTCTCTGAATCTGCCCTTAAAAATAATGGGGCTGAATGGGACAACTGCATGGCTCAGTTGGTTAAGCGTCCAGGTCTTGATCTCAGAGTCATGAGTTCAAGCCCTACAAATGGGCTCCATGCTGGGCAGGGAGCCTACTTAAAAAAAAAGCGGGGGGGGGGGCTGAAAAAGGAAATTACAGAATGGGAAGATAAATTTAAATGCTTTGCAAACCATAAATCCTTACATCAACATTAGTATACTATCACTACTATCCTTACTGTTAAATATTCTACCTCTGAAAAATGTTACACCTAATGTTACCCCTAAACTAGCTGATAAAGATGTTTGTCTAACATTAGAGGCTCCAGCTGAAGCACTTCTACACTCTTCTTATAAAGCCCTTTCTTGCATCTAATAATCCTTATAGTCTATAATTTCATCCATATGTTTCCCATTTCTGCTTCAACTAAAGCTTTTGTAGTCATTGTGGAAGAGATATTTAGTACTTTTCGACTGTTCTTTGCTGTGGCTAGATATGCTATAGTAACCACAGTAGTTTTCATATAATATAATGGAGATGAAAGAATGAGGAGTCATAATTTTCAGACTCACCTTGGGGCCTGATGCGGTATCACCCTAACCCCCCAGAGAGCCTCCATCGGAGCCATGTTGCAATGTTTAATGTTCATCCATAATAAAGCAAACACAGAACAGGATACTACTACTATGTTCTGTTTGATCCACATGTCAAAATTATAAAAATTACATTTATAATTACATAAACCTTTAAAGGTCAACATTAAAATCTGTAGTAACAGTGCTCCCATCATGTGTTTCTCAGTGCAGAACACAAGATGTTCATTGGAAGCAGGGTATGTCATTTAGTTTTATATTCTTCTCACTACCACATAAGGCAAAATCCTGGGCATAAAATGAAATGTTATGAAACATGCCTCTTGGAAAACCGTCCAAAAATGTCTCCATCCCCTGAAAGTTCTGCTGGTCACAGGAAATAGGAATCCGCTAAAGTAAAAAGAGGGAAGAGGTTACTGTAGGGAAATAGGCGGGAATGGGAACCCAAAGGCAGCCCGGTCCTGCCTGGAGAAGGAAACCCAAGCCTCTGTCCACCACTCGCTCTCTGTTTGGAGCACCTCCTTGTTTCTTCTTTGCATATCCTCTCCACTCTTCCCTCTCTGAAGACTCATCACCTCACACCTGGCCCATCATGGCATGTCCCATTCTACAATTTGTGTCAAGTTCCACTGCTAATTAAATCATTCATAGCAGCTCAAATCCAAATCCCAGCTGGTCCAGCCTGGTCAGGTGCAGAGGATTTATGTTTGGAGGAAAGAAGAGTCAAATGGATCAAATCAGAACTGTGAAGGGCAGTGGGGTGGGGGGTGGGGGGATTTCTCAGAAAAGGGAGTTTTGGGAACAGGTAATCCAAAACAATTTCCTTGGGAACTGCCTTCTTACAGAGCCTCCTCTACCCAGGGACTCTTCAGGGGCAATTAGGTATGTCAGTTAGGATTCCGTTTAGCTTCATGTTCCAGAAAGCCCAAATAAATGTGGGTTAAACACATGAGGGCTTTTCTCTTAAATAATGGAATTAGTTGGGCAGTCTGAGGCCATTAGACTGGCTCCATAGTCATTGACAACCCAGTCTCCTGTCTTTCTGCTCTGCCACATTCAGCACTTGCTTCTTCTCCAGGTCCCCTCATGGTCCAGGGTGGCTGACGGTGGTCTAGTCAACACGTCTGATTTCAAGCTGCAAGACAGGCAAATGGGTGGAAGGCCTGATGTCAGACTCCTTTTAAGGAGCCTTCTTAGGTCTTACCCAAATCTTGTGCTTTTATCTCATCAGCCAGAACTTAGTCACACAGTTTAGTAGCTGCAAAGGAGACTAGGAAGTGTAGTCTTTGGCTGTATATGTTGCCTCCATGAATAAAATCAAGTTCTTTTACAAAGGGAAGAAGTAAAGTAGTCAGCCAGCAGTATCTGCCACATCAGACTTTCAATGGATGTAATAGTTCTTGCTATTAAATTATGTAATGACACCCTCTACAAATCCAGTCCTCAGCACTACATAATTCTTTAATCTTTTTTGCCTTCCTTAAGTTTTCTCTTGTGTATTTATAGGTTTGTATTAGTAGAGGTATGAATATATACCTGCATGTGCACGTGCACACATACACCAGTCCTTTGTGAACCCATATGTCTACAGGCTTTTCTTTCTGGTTTTGACCTCATTGGTTTTAATCTTTTAGGTTTTGTATTAAAATATATTGACTCTCTGAATAATCTTCTTGAGGATACACTTTTCTGCTCATTCCTTCAATTTGCCACTCATACAAAAAATAGACATAATTCTTACAGATCTTAAGACTGCATCAGAAAGAGAAACCGTCCTTTTTAAACATTGTATCATCAAAGTCTAGATAATTCAGACTTTGAGATTTTCAACCTGAATTTCAAGATTGTCTAGAGCAGTGATTCTTCATCCTCGCTACACTCTCTAATAAAATGTAGAGCTTTTAAAAAATATTTATGCCTTCCATCCCAATTGAATCAGAATCCCTCCACAGATTATTTTAATATTCAGCCAGTTTGGAAACTACTGGTCTAAAGTTGGAAAGTCTGGGTTACAACCCTTTATCATTCCACCCCACCCCATACACACACCCCTCCACACCCAGGAGAACACAATAATTAATATTTAAAGTAAGGAAAACGTCAGACAAAAATCAGCATGTACTGGGAAAGCCTCTGTTTTGGGGACAAGTGTTTCTTTAGAGCAGGGGTTCTCAGTCCCAGATGCATGTGAAAACCACCTAGAGCCTTGCTAGTCACAGCACTGGCATCACCTGGGAGCTTGATGGAAATGCAGATTCTCAGGCCCCACTCCAGACTTGAATCGGAAGCTGGGGGTGGAGGCAGGGAGGGCAAAATATGGGTTTCAACAAGCCCTCCAGAGGTTTCTGAGGCTCACTAAAGTTTAAGAACCACTGCCCTACTTTTTAAAAGAAAATAATAACTAAGCCTGGATCTTTTCCCAGGCCACTTGACTCTCTGGACGATGGTGCCTAAATCATTGAGGTTTGTTTGTCTTTTATGCTCTGTGGGTGATTCTAATGTGTAGCCAGCATGGTAGCCACTGCTAAAACCACAGCTAGAAGCCAATTGCAGAGACATATTTAGAATTAGTTATCCTAATCAGTGATGTGCTGGCAGATGTTTTAACAACGGATAGAGACGGGGAAGCCCTGATTTGTAGCATTTGCCAATTTTCTCCCACTGTGTTCTATTTCAAGTTACTAAAGAAAGGTCATTGAACTGGGAATTGGAATGAGATGTGCACAATCTGCTCTCCAGAACAATCGAGAGCTGGCTCCAGCACACACTGCCCCAAATTTTTGTTGCCAAAACTGCTATCAAAAGTACTTGATACACCATCCCCAGTTTGTTTTGTTGTTTTTGTCACTAAGCCTTTTATCTCAACAGTTCAAAATCCCTAAGAAATTCCTTTGTACCCCAGAAACCACAAGAAGCATCCTTATTATTCTGAAGCTCTTAATTTTCATTCTTACAAATCTTAAAATTGATATTTGTAGTTCAAAAACTAAAGATAAAATAGCCACCATTTATTGATTACTTACATGTTTTAGGTGATGTGATCAATTCTCACAACAATGTTGAGATATTACTTATTCCTATTTTATTTATGAGGCAATCAGGGTCAGAAAAGTCTAGGAACTACCCAAAACCACACAAACAATGAGTGGCAGAGCCAGGATTAGAACCTAAGTCTGTCTGTCTGCACAAACATATTCTTGAGCATCATGCTTAAATTATGTGTTGTGGCAAAGGAGAAGATATATTCAGATAACCCAAGAGAGCTGATAAATCTGCCTGCATAAAAGAAAGCTTGATGTCAGCTTGAAAGCTGATAAAAGAAAGCTTGGGTATAAACCTGATTTCAGATCCTCATGGCAACAAGAAAAGAGCAGCTGAGCTTATAGCAATTTATGACAGGCTGTTACTTTGAATTAGAGATGTTACTGGGGATTTTAGAACTAGTAGCCTTTGTAATTAATTTTCTCTTCCTTTATTCTTTCATTGTACTTTGTACCTTCATTATTAAAGCAGTAAGTAAGTTCTACATGTTCTCTTAAATAGCCAGTGTTTATTTATGCTGTATGTATGTATAGTAAGATTTTTGAGCCCTGAATAACTTGTACTATCTCAGATATATATATATGTATATATATATATATATATATCTTACAGTGCCTAACAAAGTAAACACAGAAGATTCAATAAAAGTTCGTCGAATAATGGAATTGACACCCGATGTAATGAATAAGCGAATCCAAACTGCTGTTTTATTTTTATTTTTTTTTAAAGATTTATTTATTTATTTTGAGAGAGTGAGAATGAGAGAGAGAGAGAGTACACGAGACGGGGGAGGGTCAGAGGGAGAAGTAGGCTCTTCGCTGAGCAGGGAGCCCAATGTGGGATTCGATCCCGGGACTCCAGGATCATGACCCGAGCTGAAGGCAGTCGCTTAACCGACTGAGCCACCCAGGCGCCCCAAACTGCTGTTTTAAATCCCTTCTGAAACAAACTGATAAAATGAAAAACAAACAAACAAACAAAAACCTTGTTCAAACAAAAAGAGACATTATTCTCAAATGAATTCTTCCAGAAACTTGGATAATCAAAACAATTTGACACTGTATCTCACATATCATTATGTTTAAGGTTTGTGACCCTCTCTAATCCAATATACTGCATTGAATGATAAGGGCTAACATGCCATTGGAAGTCTTAAAGTAAAAAGCTAGTTCTTAGTTTTTATTCAATGGGAACTAAAGGAAAATAAGAATCAATCAATACCAAATGACTTCCTGCCCCTTTTTATCATCCTTATCTTTCTAAGATTACTTACTTGTCATATACTACTTTTTTTATTTCCATAGCCACAAGAAAATATTTCTGCAAAATCATAAGACTAAAATTTGTATAGACTACTCTGTACAGAGATGTCCTGAAAATTGTATAGCATTGTCTTCAGGCTATAGCAACCATAGAATGTGACCTGACAAATATGAAATCCATTAAAATCTAAAGATTTTTGTATTTTCATGCTGTTGGGAAAGTTAACCCTAACAGAAACAATATTAATTGTATACATTTTATATTTTTCTAAGGATAATCTAACAAAGCTATTTCTGCTTCTCTTGATTGCTGAATCTTCATCCATGATGAAACTAAAATATAATTAATCTTTAACTATATTACTTTATTCTCTCAGCTTGAACACTTCTAAGAAAGTTACTGTACCAAGTGGCTAATGCTTCTGAATTCTTAGTTTAACTCAAAACAAGAATTTTCATGGACGAACAAAGAAGGATTGCATATTAAATAGCCATTTGACAACAGATGGGACTCTGTTTTGTGAAGTTACTTTTCCATATATCGTATATCAGAAGTGTTAATGAAAGGAAGGAGAAAGGCCTTAAACTCCCATAATTAAGAAAAATCAAGGTTTGGAGAACCTCCTGGTTCAACTTTATTACCATTGGTGTTGACTTTCCTAATGCTCTGAAAATACTGAAGCTTTCATTTTTTTTTTTCTGAAGCTTTCATTTTTAATAGATCTCCTGTTCAGCAGATCACCTTCTATGTTCCAGAAGCAACCTATGTTTCCGAAGAACATAAAAGCTTCGTAGACTTAAAACACCACAGTCTTCCTTGTGGATCTTCCTGTAGTTACTCATGTGAGAGAAAATTCTTCCAAACAGCAGAGTTTAGCAGCACTGACAACTTTATGCACATAAGATTTGTAGAGATTTTCATTTTCCATTTTCTTTCTTAAAAAATAAGTAACTGGGAGCACCTGGGTGGCTCAGTCAGTTGAGCGTCTGATTCTTGATTTTGGCTGAGGTCGAGAGATCTTGGGGTCATGGGATTGACCCCTGCATCCAGCTCCCTCTGAGCTTAGTGGAGTCTGCTTCTCTCCCTCTCCTTCTCCCTCTGCCCCTTCCCCCGTGCTCACTTGCTCTCTCTCTCAAATAAATAAATCTTTAAAAAAAATAATGATTAATCATTTTGTTAAGATAAATTAAATAGACTGTGGGCAAATCATATAATGCTTCTGTGACTCAACTTCATACAAAAGAAGAAAGTACTCCCAGCTTGGTCTTCTTTCTCCTCTTAGGAACAAGAAAAGTCTAAGGCAATGTTTCTAATTGTGGTGGCCATATAATCTACCATTCAAACCACGACATTTTTGAGAGTAAAAGAGTAGTATTGATAATTATGCCAGGAAAACAGGCATAAACCAAGACTGTCCAGGATGTATTGGGACATATGGTCACCTTATCTACAGTGCGTTGTTGCCGAGAGAGGATGAGAAACATCAAGACACATCCAGGGGCTTTATTTAGGTTTGCTTTAAAATAAGACAGAATGAAGACTACAACGCATTCAGTTACTTACATCAGTATGTAGCGCACTGCCTTCTGTCCCAAAGCTGAGATACAGCCTGCTCCTATCAGAACTTTAGGCATTCCCAACAGAAGACCATTGTTTCTATTTCTTTTTTCTAATTCATAAACATTCTAAAATTGTGCTGCCATGTTTCAGGGTCACAACACAAAGAATACCATGTGAATGATGCCTTTTGGAGTTGTGCATTGTGGTGGCTTTTCCCCTTCTTCCCGACAATAAATCAGATTTAGAAAGGAGAAATTGATTGGCTCATTTCTGGCAACTCTGGTTGTGTGTTCTGAATCAACATAGAATTGTAAACAGCCTGTCATACATTTTCTGCTGGGTGAGGCTGATGGTGACAGATTTCCCTTCTCTCTCCCCACTCTTGTGTGCAGTGATTCCAGTCAGCTCCAACAGCTTCACAACCAAGTCTTACTGGAACAACAGCAGTTGCAAAACCCATCTCCTTCCTCTCCTAAGGAGTTTCCTTTCAACATGAGTGTTTTGAACTCCACTGCTTCTCCGGCGGTGACAATGTCCAGCAAGCAGGTGAAGGCCCCTTCATCACAGACGTTCAGCTTGGCCCGGCCAAAGCATTTCTTCCCCTCTTCAAATACAACCACAGCAACCGTGTCCCCTTCCAGCTCTCCAGTGTTCACCCTAAGCAGCACTCCTCAAACCATTCAGAGGACAGTGAGCAAAGAGAGCCTCTTAGTTTCTCACCCCTCCATTCAAAACAAGTCTCTAGGAGGAGTTTCCTTCCAAAATGAGCCACCCCCTCCAGCTCCGGTAGAGCCAGCGCCATCGCCACTTACATTTGCCATCTCCAGTGGAAACCAGTTTCAGCCCCGCTGTGTTTCCCCAGCTCCTGTCTCTCCCACCAGCCGGATTCAGAACCCAGTGGCTTTCCTCAGCTCCGTTCTTCCTTCTCTCCCTGCCATCCCACCCACCAATGCCATGGGGCTGCCCAGAAGCGCACCATCCGTGTAAGTGTCATTAAGATTTCTCAAGTAAAAGTTGTCACTTAAGAAAGGACATATGCATGGAATAGCTTGGTCTGGAACAGGACTCTCATTTAGTGGATTCCTAGATAATCCTATCTCTTAGGCACTAAACAGATATTGAACACCTTACGGCGAAGGGCATGATTACTTTAAATAATTTCTAATTTTAAATTTTGAAAACACCTCTCCAAACACAGATTCTCTGTGCAGTGCTCAACTTTGGTACACAAGATGCCCTCCCTAAGTGCCCGATGACTCCTGGTGTCTGACCGCCATTTCAGCCACTTTGATTTCTAGGCTTTCGGCCACTGGCAAGTGTTTCTCATGGGTGTGTCAGGTGTGAATTTATTTTACAGGCCATCCCAGGGACTAATGAAGAAAAACACAAAGTCTCCCCAACCGGTGAATGATGATTTCATTCGTGAAACTAAGAATGCGGTGATTCTAGACTTGGGGAAAAAAATGAATTTCAGTGATGTCAGATCAAACCAGCAGGTAAGATTGTTGCACTTAAATGGTTTATTGGAATTTCATAATAAGAAGTATCATTTCATTTAATTTAGTTCTTGGATGGTCAGGTCACCAGACCTCAGTTAGCCTGACCCTGCTGTCTTAGAAGATAGAGCATAGATTAACCGAGGGTCATATAGAAAACTCATCCACATGGATCTACAGTTCTTGATTACCCCAGTAGTTAATTCACTTTAACTGTTTATATGCGTTTACATAGAATGGAATACGTTAGAGAAAGAGAAGGACTAGCTAGTATGTTGGCCATTCCAGCAATCCTCAGCTCAGTATAGGCAAACACCATCACATCTTTGAAATATTGCAATATATGAGAAGATCTAGACTTAAAGGAACTCTGGGACACCACGCTGTCCTTTATCTGACTCCTACAATCTAATGTGCTAGAGGTCTGTTCACCAGTTCCTCTCAATTTTACATAAGCTTGAATCATGTGAAATAGCCATCAATAGTCAATATCCTGTGGTTCAACCCATACAACTCCTTGCTTACTAGTAAGTGTTCACACTGAAAGAAAAAGGAAAGCCATGGGTGAGCATCAAATAAAAGAAAAATAGACTGAGTATTTTGTTATTTGAGCCATTTGTTTTTGCATTTCATAACATGGTTATCTTGTAAACGTCAGTTTACATTTTAATAACCTAACTCTTGGTTTATTGCCCACAGTAGGAACTGATAAAAAATCTATTTTGAAACATAACATAAGATTTCAGTCAAAACTACATGCCAAATATTGTGGAATTTGTAGCATAAGTGATCCCTGGAAACAAGGCTCCAGATTTCCCTGACCATATGCTGTTTTCCTTTGTTTCTGTCTTTTACCTCCAGCGGAGCCAAGGATATACAGTATTTTACAACTGTGCGATATGTTGGGCAATTTTTACTAAGTAGGTTGTTTTGAAAATCTGCTGTTTAAAATCTTAAAATTGACTTTAAATTGTTGAATTGAAGAAGAACTAAATTTAAGCTTGTTATAATTGAGGACACTTTTCACGTATTATTTCACCAAGTTACATGCATTTCTGGGAGGCAAATGCCAAGGCAGCTATTCTTCTCCCTTCCATCTTCTAGACCAAGAAATGGGGGCACAGTTGTCAAACTGTCAGTGGAGGAACTAGAACTAGAGCCCTAGTCTCCGGGACACTTCACATATTCCCTGAAACTGTGAAGTCTTTGTCAGTTTTATGACAATTACCTTTAAGTCCCCATAAATTTTGCTCTGTCTGATGCAGATTTGCTTTCCTATAATACTGTCATCACATTCGTGTTTGTTAATCCTTCTAAGTGTCACTGAAATCAGAGCTGTGTTCAGCCTATGTCTTTTGCAACTCAGAGAGGGAGCAATTAGAACCCTGCAAAAATAATACCAGGTCAGCACACAAGCTGTGTGATGGCCCTTTCATAGTTACTCTGTAGGTAGATCGATGCTAATCCCCGCCCAATTCATGGCAAAGTGGGGTTTTTCTCCTAATTACCTGAAATGTGAATATAAGTGAACATGAACTTCTATGAGTTGAGTGTCATAAACCTGATAGAGCTCATTATTAGCTCCAGGGCTAATAGCAGGGCCTAGGATCAGTTTCAAAAAGCATCTCCATACTCTCCATTTGAATATCTGTGACATACATCAATGTTCTTCTGAGAATCATTATTCTGAGAATTGCTATGGTAGTTTAGTTACAGAATTTGTTCTAGACGGAGTTCTATGCCATGGATAAGAAAACCAAGCTGCGTAAATGCAATTCAGGATACTAAGATGGAAACTTTGCATTAGGTTGGTAGATGTTGATTCTGATTAAGTTTTGAGGAATAAAATGATGACCACATTGTAATACTGCTTTGTCATTGTTGCCTTGGGAAATGATAGTGAAGATACTGTGAAGAACTGTCTAAAATGTATTGTGGCCTGTTGGTGAAGTTAGAAGAAGAAAATTTGCTTGGGAAAGTGGAAAAGCAATCATAAAGAAACACTTGCATATTGATAGTCATCTATATCTGCAGTTTGGAGACACAGGAATCAAAATGATCAGTTTTCTCATTCCTACATTAGGCTGTCCATATGAGGGGGAAGCAAATGATTTCTTCTGAAGATTTGTTGTTGTTTTATCTTGCTTTGAAAACTTTTAGGTCCAAAAGCTGGACTCTCTGACCCTATTTTATTCCTAGCCAATGAAGAACAGCAACCTCTTAGAACATGTGTGTGGGCTAGCCTCATCCCATTATGCTGAGCATGAAAATAAACCAGAGGTCCTTGAACAATGAATATTGACTATAGACAATTTCCTCCCCAGAACTCAAACTCCTAAATTAATGTTTTAGAAAATGGGTTTTCTTTGACATATCTATCACTTTGTATTTCCCTATTGTAATATTTCAGCATTTACTTTCTACCTCATTTGATATAACCTTTCTAAATAGCAATTAACATTTGCTTGTTGATTCTTAGAACATTGTGTGACACAAAGGTGTCATCCTTTCAGATGTTCATATTTATTAAAATGGTTAGCTTTCTAAACTGACAGTGAAGTTTCTTTGAGTTGGGGATAAGCCAAGAGAGGTGCCCAACTTCTAGATTTTAGGCTGTATCATTTCTTATTTTGAAGGGTATCGTTCACCACCAGTGAATCTGCAGTGGACATCAATAAAACTTAAATGGTTTAGGATAGCAAGGTGAATCTGAGAGGTCAGAGGAACCCAGGATCACAAAATGTAATAATGAAGGTTTCATGACCAATGATTTTAATTCACACATGACTTAACATGATTTTCTACACCCAGTAACTATTCGGTGACTGTTAATTTCTAAACACACATACACACACAGTGTCTTATTTCAGCTTTCCTCCTTGACCTCATTTCTCTGGAAACCTTCCCATCTCTTTATTCTGCTCCCCACCTCCAACACACTTTTTTAAATTAATGCTTCTTTAAAACTGTCTGTGGTTCCCAGATACTGCCATGTATGACAAAAGAAAAAAAAAATATGCACCTAATTCTTGCTATGCTTTTTGTTCCTCTAATCTTCTTCTCTAAGCTGCTCAGTGATTTCTTCTATCTAAAGCACACCTCTTTCATCTCTTACTATGAACTCTTTATGAAAATCCTATTTTGTGAGTCTTGCCATCCATTCCTTTTCTTTTTTTTTTAAAGATTTTATTTATTTATTTGACACACAGAGAGAGATAGCGAGAGAGAGAGAGAGAGAGAGAGAGAGAGAGAGAGAGAGAGAGAGGGAGGGAGGGAGAGAGCACAAGCAGGGGGAGCGGCAGGCAGAGGGAGAAGCAGGCTTCCTGCATGAGCAGGGAGCCCGATGTGGGGCTCGATCCCAGGACCCTGAGATCATGACCTGAGCTGAAGGCAGTGGTTTAACCAACTGAGCCACCCAGGCGCCCCCATCCATTCCTTTTCTAATGAGAATTCCACACAGCCATTGACCTTAGGTTGCTTACCTTGAGCATGGTAGAAGCGTGGGATAGTGAAGTGTCCCTATGTTATCATCTGTGGACCCAACCAGAATGCACCAGTCACAATCTCCATGGGAGATGGGATTGGTGGATGTCTTAATCATTGCCGCACCCCTGTTGTGTCTGGCACAGAGTAGGTACTCCATGAATATTTCCTGAATTAGCACACGGCTATGGGATTTACATTAGCTTCAGATAAGATAATGAAACTTTTGACCAAAGAGAAAATTTTGGATTTGTGGCCTATCTATGGAAAATACCTCACTTGACTATATAGATTCTGATTATGCCTAATTGAGGATACTACCTTATGACCATAATCCACTTCAATCAATAGATTAAAAAGATGAAAACACTGAAATTCAGCAAAACTCTGGTGTTAACTGTATGTCAGCTTCACGCAGAAAAACATTCTCTCCTTTGAGCACAGACATCGCTTACAAGCAGCTAATGCAGAAACTGCTGCTTTTACTCACAAAGGGATGAGGCAAGGGGACATGCAGAAGGCAACATAAATTCAGTCCTGGAAATTCAAAGCCTGTGTCTGCCAACAGTGGGTCTGTAGTACAGCCTTTGTACAGAACAGTGCAGAAAGCACCTAAACTTAACTTAAACCTATTGCTTTTGTTTGCAAATTTCTTTACAAAATCTGAGTCCCATCAGTCATAACTTGGAATGAAAATCTTGACTGGTGTGTAATCGGGGTAGTTATTTTTGGGATAACCAACTCTTAGTTTCAAAACACTACAAAAAGACGTCAATTTCTGCTTTGGGGATGGTATACATCTTCGCTAACAGCTCATAAGTAAAGATTCAGTGCTTTAGCAACAAGCCACAGACCCCTGCCACACAACTTCATGGTTTCCTTGTTCCTGTTTCCAATTTCCAAAATATTTATGAAACCTTTCATGGAAATTCCTTGATCTACAGTATTTTTATTTTGTTGCTCATTTGCAATTTACACATTATATACCTGGTACATTAAACAAATATGTCTAAAAAGAATTTTCTTTTCTCCCAGTATCCCTTTGGATTTATTCTGTGGGACTATTTCTTCTCCTGCTCCTGGCAATCTCAACTATAAGGCAATCTCAAAACAGTTTTGGCCCCATTTAGTTCACTTAAGGTTCTGGGGTAACTTCGTTGCAAAATACAATCTTGATCCAGTAGTACAAAATTTCCTTATTCAAAAATAAGACCCCCCACACGAACACCCCTATCCATACCCCACAGCGCAAGAACTGTTACAAATGGTGAACCTAAAGCCAGGAAGGGAAGTGTGGCCAGCTGCTCTCTTTTTTTGCTCCCTCCTCCCCCACTCTACTGACTGTCCTCACTCCCTTTCCCAGCCATGGAAAGACAAAAGCTGACCCCACAGTGGCTTAGTCTTGTATGTGGCCCATGTGTGCCTGACAGGACCCATCACGGTGCAGGTGTGAAGGCTAGTCAAAGTAGCCTTCAGCTTGCCCACTGACAAAAAGCTGCCTCACTCCTCACTCCAGCTTTCTTAGGCAGGAGTCAGATACTAACCCACTGCAGAAAATAAAGCAAGCTCTCCTAATGAGTCCATTTAATCTCCCTTGCTGAGCTTGAAGTGAAGGCAGGTACCCTTGCGGTAGAGGAGGAGGTAGGAGATGCAGAGACACAATAGCTCTCTCCAAAGTCCTCTCACTGGATCTTCTCCCGCCTCACTCCTTTGTATCTCTGGTGGAGGTGAGGGGTTTAAATGGTCTAGCCTGTCTATAAGCACCTGCTTTGAAACTGTCTGCCAACTCACTTGTTTTCTGATATCTAGCCCATCTTGGTGCCTTAGTAAAAACTTCCAGTTAAGATCTGGTTGCAACTGTATCCTCAGTACCTAGTTATAAGTAGTATTTTTTAAATAACTCATTGAGTGTTCTGTTTCCATCACCTCCCAATTTGTCATACTGATAAAATAATAAATATATAACAAATATGCATGCCTTTGTAGTAAAACAAAATGTGTATATTTTCATCATATTGCTTCTCTAGTTCCTTGGATCAAATCAATTCAAACATCGATAAATTCTGTAAGATCAGGCCCCAACTTGGCAAAATCCAGTTTGGAATACATGGAGACCATGTGGTGTTTATATTCTCGGGCAGGCACTTAGGTCCTCGTATATATCATCCGCTGTGTTCCTGAAGGTTGGGTGTAATCATAACTTACCACTATGTACAAAATACTTCTTTGGGAAAATTCCTTCATACTTCCAAAATAGAATTTCAGGAATTCATCTTTCGCTATAATAACTCTGACAAGGTATTTAGCCAGGAAGTTACAGCCCTTACAGGTCAGGCAATAGGAGAAGCTTCAGGGAAGACTCTTTTTAAAAAAAAATTTAGAGCAAGGACTCCATTAGAACAATGGCTAGAGTTGGTATGGAATGGACTAGGAATTTGGGGACTTAAATGAAACAAGATGAGAAGCTGTAAAATGCTAAGACCTCCTGCCACCCTCACAAATAACTATGGTGTTTCCTGAACCCCTAGGATCTGTGTATGAGGTTTGAGAACTGTGTGAATTATTCTGTTTGGATGTAATTTTTAAAATAATAAAGCTTCTTTTAATACCTACCTCATATGGTAAGGGAATAAAATGACTCATTGGTTTTACTCCTAAATATCCAGGAAAATAAACAAATGTGTTAAAGAGAAAAATAATATATATTCAAAAGCATAAATGCAATTCAAGAAAGAAGAAGTATATACTCTTCATGTGATTTTAAACTGGCAAGACTAAGAAATATTTCAAATTTGGGGGAGCATTTAATATATGTAAGGAAAAATATAGTCATTGTGAAGTATTAGATTGAATCATATGAAAGTCTACATTTTTGACCTACAAAAATGTCAGTTTTGTATAATTCAGCCTAATAGGTAGTTGGAAGCTTTCAAAGATTAACTTTTTAAAAACTCCTATAATGTAGAAAATAGTCTTAATACTTTTAAACTAGGTTTCTTAATACTTTTAAACTAGGTTTCAGATTAATAGAAGTGAATAATTTTTTACTTTAACTGGTTTGAATTATCTGATTAAAAAATAATAAGGTACCTGGAGATTAATCATTTTCTCTACCCTGAAAGAGCTGTGGATTTATTTTGCTTACCCAGTGTGAGATGTGGCCAAGAGAAGAGGATTTAAAATTGGTTTCAAGAACTTGAAACCAACAAACATCTGATTTCTGTATTTCTATGTTTCGTAAGTTCCAATTCTACACAAATTCAGGTGACAATATGTATATGACAATAACTAAAGGACATGAGTAATGTGATTTAATAGCTTGAGAATACATCTTACGAGTCCTGAACTCAATCACTCTGTCTAAGACTGGGACAGATGTATATCAGCCATGTGCTTCCAAATTCTACTTCAGGAACATCCTAGTGCCATCTCCATGGAGCTCATCTAAATTATGAAATTGTGGTTAACTAGAGTCACAAGCTTAACAGAAGGTCTTACCCTCAGCCCAAAGCCATGGCTCTGAAGTCTTCAAAGATGCAGTTGGAACAAGTGATTTCCCCCATGTCATCCATGTCTTCACTCATTCTTCAGATACTCATTGAGCACCTGCCATGAGGCAGACACTATTCCAGGTGCTGTTGATATAGTGAGAAGCAAGATAAACAAGTTCTCAGCTCTTGTGGAGCTAACATTCTAATCCTTAGAGATATTCATTCACTCAATCAATAAACAAACAAACAAGAAATATACTAGATAGCAAACGGTCCTGTGTAGAGTATTAGAATGGGGAGTTCATTTACGTGAAGTGGACTGGGAAGGCTGCTTTGGGGAGGTGACATATAAGCTTGATAGAATTCGGCAGGGAGAGGGAGTGACAGGAATTCAGGATAAGTCCTAGATTTAGGGTTTAACTTGGTACACTCAAAGTGTGGTCCGAGGACATGTGGCAATCTGCAAGCTCTCACCTCTCCACCTTGGCATAAGCACAGAAACTGAGAGTAACCATTAAGAAATTTCTATAGCAATTTGACAGAAACATTTTATGCCTATTGAATATAATAATTTTGCCTGCCTCCTAAATTTCATTTTGCTACTCATTCATTTTTATTTCACTTTACAAAACTACACACTGGAAAATTTTTAAAACCTGGTTTTCACCAAAGATAGTGCAAGAAACACTGGCTTAACTACTTAACCAAGTGGGTGAATAGTGGCACCACTTTCTGAGATGGGGAAGAGCAGGGTAGGAATATCTCTGGGAGACAGAAATCAAGTGTGTGTTGTTTGGATCATGCTAAGTTTGAGATGCCCATTGGGTGCCCAAACCATGATATAGAATCAATCGCTGGGTATATGACTCGCATGATGTATCATCGGGTATCCGAGTTTTGTAGAAAGATCAGGCTTGAGGATATGTATTTGGAGTCATCAGCATACAGAAGGTATCTGAAGCTGTGAGATGGGTTGAGACCACTTACCTAGGACTAGGAGCTAGCAAAGGAGACTGATAAGCAGTAATTAAAGAAAGAGAAGGAAAACCAATATGGTATTATGAAAGCAAACAGAAGGAAATATTTCAAAAAGGAGAAAGTAGCCATCCTTGTCTAATACTGCTGAGATATCAGGTAAGGTAAGAACAGATAAGTGACAACTGGATTTGGCTAATTTGGAGACCTTGACAATAGTAATCTCAGGGGGACAGTGAGAACACAAGCCTAATTGGAGCACATTAGTGAAAGAATGGGTGGCAAGCAAGTGATCCTGTAACAATACAAAATTATTTCAACTAGTTTTGTTGTGGTGGGAGTAGAGAGATGCAATGAAGATGGATATGGACTCGAGGGAGATTTATTCAAGACAGATTTCATCAAGTATGCAGATGGGAATGTCCAGTAGAGACAGGAAGCTGGTAATGCAGGCATGCATCAGAATGCAATTCAGAATAGTTTTGCCATATTACCAGATAGGAAGTTCTACATATTGAAATGGACATTAATAGTAGTAATGGAAATCACATTCCATCTTCATTTCTCTACAGGATGCTACTGGGGCTCCATACTCAAGGTGAGGAATCAGGATTCACTAAGGCAGTTTGTGATTATAGTAGAGACATTGGCATCTCCTTTAGTGCTCCATGGTGAGGAACTGGAAATGGAACATGCCTGGTTTATTGGGTTTCCATGATATATATTTACCATCTAAATCTAAAAAGTTCCATCCTCAAATTATACTGATAGACACCTTCTTTCTCACCCATAGAATTGAAATTGAAACATGTTTGCCATTTTGACAGGAGTACAAAATTTCAAGCTTTGAGCAGAGGCTGATGAATGAAATAGAGTTTCGCTTGGAACGTACCCCTGTTGATGAGTCAGATGATGAAGTCCAACATGACGAGATCCCCACGGGCAAGTGTATTGCTCCCATCTTTGACAAAAGACTCAAGCATTTCCGAGTTACAGAAGGCTCTCCAGTGACATTTACCTGCAAAATTGTTGGGATTCCTGTTCCAAAGGTAGGGGAAGATGACCAGCTGATTGGCCAACCAACCAACAACACAGAACTGTAGACAATGCCTTCAAGAAAGTCTTATCAGATTCTAGGGATGTGTCTACAGAGGGAATAAAAACCACTACCAGAAAAACTAACAAAGCCCAGATAATTTTACTAAAAAGAGACCGTCAGAGATAGGACCGTTAAATAATTAGGCCCAAAATAAATCAGACTTATGGGTAAGTTAGAATTTTAATAAAAGTTTAAAATAAACTTCTTAGTCATAATCCTCCATTTTGGGCTATTGATTCTCTCAACCACCAAACTCACCAAATTGATGCTCTTTCTCTTTAACACTTATTGAATACCCACAAAGTGCCTGTTGTTGCACAAAGTGAGCTATATTTGTATCATTACTAGTAGGTTGGTATATGCTGAAAATGTCATATCGTTATCACTGGCTGCAGAAAAATCTTATGAGTCACCAGATTTTTTTGGCAGTCAGCTGAAAGAAGGATTTACACCCAGTATGGCTGTGGTAGGGGATCTCTCCGCTCTACTTTCACAAACATTAGCATGGTGTTATCGTGTATGGTTAGGTAACCAGGAAATGTGGAGAACAGCTGCAGCCAGTACTTTAACCCCCCTGTCTTTGAGAGATCTCCTTGATACATGCAGAACTCAACATGAAAAACATATTTATTTAAATGTTTGCCAGATGAGAAATTTAGCAAGTGAATCCTGGCCTCCTTCCACATGGTATAATAAACCATACTATCCTTTCAAGTAGGGTGAGCTATTGTGGACCCTGAGGTCTGTGGATTGCAGAAGAGTTGAGCTTGTAGATAGGATAATGGGAAAAAATTCAGTCTCCTGGTTTTCATTATTTTGCCTCTGAAGACATGTCTGGTCTTTGGGGTGATTTTTAAGTAATTATGAAGTACAATAAGAAGAGTCAAAAGCTTTATCTCAATCCTAAATTATACAGAATTTTTGTCTTAAGTATTGTATATGTACAAGTGCAGGAGCATGTTATACAGTCATTTTTTTAAAAAGATTTTATGTATTTATTTGACAGAGAGAGAGAGACAGCGAGAGAGGGAACACAAGCAGGGGGAGTGGGAGAGGGAGAAGCAGGCTCCCCGCTGAGCAGGGAGCCCGATGCGGGGCTCGATCCCAGGACCCTGGGATCACGACCTGAGCTGAAGGCAGACGCTTAACCGACAGAGCCACCCAGGCGCCCCTACAGTCATTTTTAAAATACTTTTTCCGAAGTGCTTTATAAGGGATGGGGCACTCATAGAGATGGCAATCAGCCCTTGCTTCATCCTACTCCCTGCTTCATTATCTTCAAAAAGATGTGCAGAACAGTGTATGTTCTCCTTGATTATCTTTCATTGCAGGTTTACTGGTTCAAAGATGGGAAGCAGATTTCAAAGAGAAATGAGCACTGCAAAATGAGGCGAGAAGGAGATGGGACATGCTCTCTGCACATTGACTCCACCACCAGTGATGACGATGGCAACTACACTATCATGGCTGCCAACCCCCAGGTAGAGAAGCAGGGTTCTGCGCTGTGCTGCACTCTGAGGAAGGAGCACTGATGTCATTGTGAATGAGACCTTGAGAAGTGCGAGTTACTAAGGATTGCTGAGGAAAATAAATGAGAAGCATTGTGATTGTGTGTAACTAGAGCACAGTATCACAGCTTGAAAGACCGGTTAGCCATTGATGGGTCACTCAAGCCTTGAGCCTTTGTCAAAGGACATTTGTAGTATCTGTTCACTATGTCCCAGATGTATTAGACTAAATCTTATGTTTATTAACTCATTGACTCTCTTGAAGAGTCTATAAATCATCCTATCAAAGAATGATTTGTTGTTTTTGTTCTTTAGAGAATATGCAAATAACTCCAAAAAAGCTTGTAAATATTCCTCAAATCCATAATGTCCTTTTTTTTTTTTTTGGTAAAAGTTGGAAAGCCATAATCTTTCACTTTTCTTTTCTGAATAAGATCAAGGATCAAGACTTAAAATTCCCGTAAAAGATATGGCAGAACAAATATCTTCAATTACTATTAGAATACAAAATATAGAACTATAATTTCTACTCTCACCCAGTCTCCTTATTAAAATGTTAGTTTTGAGGATAAATCTCTATTAAGAAAAGTATAAAATACTTGGCCATACTCTCTGCTTGTGGCTGCAGATAATGTTCAGTGCACCAGAATTCAAATTTTTTTTACATTTGTGCTCTGTTCATTTCTCAGCTCAAAGTGAAAGTCATCACAATATTCTTTAAATTCCCCCCTAGAAAAAAAAATTCCCCCTAGAATATTAACAGTGATCTAGGGAGTCGTATTTTATTGTTTTCATTCCCCACCCCCAAGTTTTCTTTCTCATAATAGTTAGCCAAAAGGTTCAAAACTGTTCCAGTCCAGAAAAATTTATATAAATTGAAAAAAAAAGGAGAATTCTCTTATTTTTAATTCATTTTTGTTTCTCAGGGGAGAATCAGCTGTTCTGGTCACTTGATGGTACAAAGTTTGCCCATTCGCAGTCGACTAACATCCGCTGGTCAGTCCCACAGGTAAAAACAGTAAGAATCTCCCTTCTCTAGCCACTCCCAAGCATCCACCTACCACACTAAGCATCAAAGTATTGGGTCTACATATTGTTCTTAAAGTGTAGTCCTGCACCTGCAGCATCAGCATCCCTTGGGAGCTTGTTGCAAATGTGGAATCCCAAGACCTACCCCAGACCTACTGAATCAGAAAGTACATTTAATAAGATCCCTAGATGACTCATAGGCACATTAACATTGAGATGCACTGGTCTGTTGCACACTCTTAATGGCTCAAAATTTGTAACCCTCAGTAGCACCTGTGCAGATAATATATAAACCAGAGTCTTTGAATTAAATTACCATATTTTCTTTAACAAAACAGAAACTGCTAATGGTTATATGTCTATAGATTGAATATTTTTGCTGTTGTTGTCCCCAGTATAAAAATTGCCTCTAACATAGCAATTGGCTTTCTTCCTCTCTGATTTTACTAACCACTAAGAATTAAGAGCCTGGCTTCCCCTTGAGTCTTATGGTGCCACAAAGTCTTAGCAAAGCATTCCATAGTTGCTGACATGGATGAATTATATTTGACTTACCGAAGGAGCAAAAATAGTGACCCATGTTTCAGATACAGTATTTCATTACCACTGCAACTATACCTTCTTCTTCATTTTTTTTTCTTCAAGAACAGCTGTTGCTGTTGGTCAGTCTTAACCAGTTTATCACCGCTGCAACTATAGCTTCTTCTCCATTTTTTTTTTCTTTAAGAACAGCTGTTACTGTTGGTCAGTCTTAACCAGTTTAAGTTCATGATCACCTTTAATGGTCTGCCATAATTTATAGCCAGGTTAAATTTTATTACTCAGAGACATAGAGATTGCAGCTGCCTTGTTCTGAGTAATAAACAGAACTTGTCTGTTGGCTCTCATTTGAGATTCGGCTTGAATACTGATTTATTTGTGTATTTTGAAACTTTTGAACAACTGGTCAAAGCCAAGGCAAGGGTAACTGAGCCACCTAACCCAGAATGACTTCAGAGAAAAAGAAGCTAAAGCCTGTTTATTTGATTACAGATCTCATAAGATAATCCTACAGTGTATGAGATGCTTATCACCTTGCTTTTTACATAAGCTTCACACTATTATTTATTATTTTATTATTTGTTTACAGTCCAGCAACCTCCTTCCCCACCCACCCCCCAAAATATCTGTTCTCTAGGCTCTAGAGCCATGCCTAAATGCTTGCTGTTGTAGGTTTATAGATTGGTTTCTATGTTTAATGCCTGAACATGCTTGTTTTTATAGAGGAAGGTCCCGAGTACAAGAAAGAGACAAAGAGCCCCTACAGGAACGCTTTTTCCGACCACATTTCCTGCAGGCTTCTGGGGATATGGTAGCTCACGAGGGGCGCCTCTGTCGGCTGGACTGTAAGGTAGACTCTAATACTCATCCTTGGCTCCAGATCTGTTCATATTTTGCATTTGTTTGACTTATTTTTGTTGTATTTGTTTTATGCTTTGTTTAGAGAAAGGGGGGCTGGGGAAGGGAGAGAGATCACTTCTTTCCTCACAAGGCTTTTTCAGAGCATTTATTAATACCAGACAAAAGAATTTGATGAAATTTTTAAGTCTTTATACCTTAATAAAATTACATTGGTGTTGTATCAAGTTAACTCTGCATTTGTAAAAGACAACCAAAGAAGTGATATAATTCAGACATTTTCCATGTGGTGCGGGGTAAGTCTTCATTACTATAAAGCCAAAAGTGTGATTTTTGCATCCTGGAAGTGAGTTTCTGGGATGTATAGACTTTGAAAAAATTACAGTCATGAAAAGATAACTCCAAGGTGGTTTATGAAAACAGAAGTTGATTTCTCGTACTAATCGACATCCACCAGCTTTAGCTATTCTACTTTCTAGTTCTTCAACCAGAAACTGTTCAGCTGAGCAGCATGGATATCTCTCAGTATGAAGAGAAACTTAAGTCACCTCTTCTACTCCAGACAAAGATGCAGAATGTTATGGAAATTTATGTTATGTTATGGAATGTTATGGAAATTTTAGATGCTATTGGTAAAGGCTTGAGGTTAAACATTCATAGAGTCCACTTCTGTAGGTGGTTCTTAACTCTGCCAATGGCTGCCTAAATAATATTTGGGATTGATTGTTACTTCTTCCACCCTAAACCCTAAAAGATACCCATTCCAGGTCCCATCCCTAGAGATTCTGACTTAATATAGTAAGTGGACACTGGGATTTTCAAATGCTCCCCACACGATTATAACACACAGCAAGATTTGAGAACTCTAGTTTAATGTCTGCCCTTTCCTTGGTTGCCTTCCCAGGTATGTAAGCAACATATCTGTGAAACTCACTCAGCAGGTCTATTTTATCTGTTCGTTTTGTTTTTCTTTCTTCCTTATTCTAATCTAAAATATAATCATCACCTGAATTGGGGTCAAAATATGATACAGTTTAAATTAATGTGGCCATTTATCCAGCCCCTCTTATCCTGACGCCCCTGCAGAGAGGTTTCTCTCCACCCCATGTTTTTTCTATTTGGTGCCAGACAAGGACGAAGAATTCAGCCACCAAATAAATCTGCCTGTCATCGGTCTGTCATTTGCCTCAGCTGTCCTGTTGTTTATTAGGTGAGTGGCTTACCGCCCCCAGAGCTGACGTGGCTGCTCAATGGCCAACCGGTGCTACCAGACGCCTCCCACAAGATGTTGGTCAGGGAGACTGGAGTCCACTCTCTGCTCATTGACCCGCTCACTCAACGTGACGCAGGGACCTATACATGCGTTGCTACCAACAAAACTGGACAGAATTCCTTTAGTCTGGAGCTCACTGTAGTAGGTAAGGTTTGCTTCTGGGATCCCAAGAATAACACCATTTAAAGTTATTGCCCAAATAGGGACAGCTTCTGACAGAATTCCTTAGTCATTTGCCCCACCAAGTTTCATCTCAGTTTCTCCTTCACTGTAGTAAAGGCCATATTTCCTACATTGTTTTCAAAGACCTATCAATAAAAACATAATGTGGTATCTGGTGCATATATGCATGAAATAAATGGGAGCCTTTGTAATAGTTAATTAATCAATTAATTAGCATATTGACTACACTAAATTCAAGTCACTTGCCCTACAGTTCATCACAACTGGAACACACCAGGATCTTGCCCCTACCCCAAGCTTCCGTGCCTTTGCTTCACTGATCCTTCTACCTGGAATGCCCTTCTTTGCCCTCATTCTCCAAGGCTTAATTCATATGTCACCACCAAGGCACATCCTCCTCTGTTTCCGTAGCACTTAGAAAAGGAGAGACTCCCCAGAGCACTTGCAGCCTTACATGTAACTATTATCTCCTTTGCCTTCCTGAAGAGACTGAAAGCTTCTAAAGTCAGACATTTTGACTTTTTCTGTGTATCTCCAGTGTCTGACTCAGTGCCTGGAACATGCACGGCGCTCAACAAATGTTGAGTTGATAACTAAACAAATGAACCTCTACCTTATAAGATGACATGAACAAAACACTGTAATGGCTACAAAAAAGGACAAGTCATTATCACTTGGTTGATACCTGCCCTCGGGCCAGGAGTCCAGCCAGAATTAGATTTCAGAATATACGAATTCTAGTGCTGAGCTTTCTCCCGTGTGTGGCCCTTACCGGAAACGAGGGGGGCTTTGTCATGCTATCTCTTCTATAGGCTGGTGGCTGCTCACCCCATATATCTTTTTCTTTTTCTCACTCTTAATTTTCTCATACCGAACAGAGTAGGAAAAGCTCATCCTGCAAGGATATATTGATTGCAAGCTTTTACTTTTCCCCCAATATTTTGCAAATATTGATTCTGGAATCCTGAAATATGAGGTATCTTTGCCTTATCTGGTTCTGGCCCTCCCCCAAAAAAGGCTTCCTTAGGAAGCCTAATTTGGGGGGGTGTTTTTTTTAAGTCGTGTACTTCTGCGGCACCTGGCTGGCTCAGATGACAGTGCGACTCTCGATCTCAGGGTCATGAGTTCGAGCCCCACATCGGGTGTAGAGATTACTTGAATAAATAAAACTTAAAAAAAAAAAGTAGTGTATTTCTTTTCTGTAGCTATAAACTTCTTCAAAATAAAAGTTGAGGGAAGGGCACCTGGGTGGCTCAGTTGGTTAAGTGACTGCCTTCAGCTCAGATCATGATCCTGGAATCCTGGGATCGAGTCCCGCATCGGGCTCCCTGCTCAGCAGAGTCTGCTTCTCCCTCTGACCCTACCCACTCTTGTGCTCTCTCTCTCACTCTCAAATAAATTAATTAATTAAATTAAATAAAAATCTTAAAAAAATAAAGTAAAAGTTGAGGGAAAATGAATATACCTTTTACAAAATCAACTCTAGAAAAGAAAAAGGGTAGGTTCAGTACATAAAATCTGTTGTTTCTCAAAATTTACTGCTGGGAATAAGAGACTCCTTTAAGGAGTGGGTTATTCCACACCCACTATTCGAGTCCCCTCCATGTGCGACCCAGATCCTGGAGTGTTGTCTCTCACACAATATGCAAAGAGGTTCCCTCATTCCTTTTTTTCATCACTTCTGGAGCTTTTATCAAAGCAATGATCTTCCCTTAGAGGTGTGAGAAGTACTCTGAAGAGGAGGTGAGGTGGGTGGGCACCCACTCTGCTAAATTCCAGAACTCTAATGAGTTGGAAGCATGAACCCCAAGGCGCTTACAATTCAAACAAGAATGGCCCTTCTTCCATTCAGCCAAAGAGGTGAAGAAAGCCCCTGTGATTCTGGAGAAACTGCAGAACAGCGGAGTTCCCGAAGGCCACCCAGTGAGGCTGGAGTGCCGGGTGATAGGCATGCCGCCACCCGTGTTCTACTGGAAGAAGGACAATGAGACCATCCCTTCCACCCGAGAGAGGATCAGGTACGGTCCGTTCCCATGTCCGCTCCCATGTTCAAACGGACTTCCAAGCTCAGTGGGACTTGCTGGGCATCCAAATAAGTCTGTTGTCTTTTGAATCTGGCTTCTTTCACTCAGCATGGCGCATTTGAGTGTCATCCATGTTATTATGCGTATCAAGAACTTACTCCTTTTTGCTCCTGAAGGGCAATCCATGGTAGGGATGTCCCACAGTTTTAAAATGTTAATTTTTTCAGGATTAATTAGCAGGGTTTTTTTTTTTATTTTAAACTCAGTTTTGTTAACATACAGTGTTATATTAGTTTCAGGTGTACAATATAGTGATTCAAAAATTCTATACATTACTCAGTGCTCATCACTGTTACGTGTGCTCTTAATCCCCTTCACCTGTTTCACCCATCCCCCCCATCCCCTGCCAACCTCCTCGCTGGTAACCATCAATTTGTTCTCTATGGTTAAGAGTCTGTTTTGGGGGTTGTCTTTTTTTTCCTTTGTTCGTTTTTTCTTAAATTCTACATATGAGTGAAATCATATATTTGTCTTTTTCTGACTGACTTACTTCATTTAGCATTATACTTTCTAGATCCATCGGTATTGTTGCAAATGATAAGATTTCATTCTTTTCGTGGCTGAGTAATATTCCTCTGTGTGTGTACACACACATGCACATATATATCTTCTTTATCCATTCATCTATCGATGGACACTTGGGTTGCTTCCATGTCTTGGCTAGTATAAATAATGCTACAATAAACATGAGGGTGCATCTATCTTTTCGGATTAGAATTTTTGTTTTCTTTGCATAAAAACCCAGTAGTGGAATTAACTGGATCATATGGTGATTCTATTTTTAATTTTTTAAGGAGCATCCATACTGTTTTCCACAGTGGCCACACCAGTTTGCATTCCCGCCAAGAGTGCATGAGGGTTCCTTTTTCTCCACATTCTTGCCAACACTTGTTGTTTCTTGTATTGATTTTAGCCATTCTGACAGGTGTGAGATGATATCTCATTGTGGTTTTGCTTTGCATTTCCCTGATGATGAGGGATGCTGAGCATCTTCTCATATGTCTGTTGGCCATCTGTATGTCTTCTTTGGATAAATGTCTGCTCATGTCTTCTGCTCATTTTTAAATTGAATTATTTGGTTTTTATGTGTTGAGTTATATTAAGTTCTTTATATATTTTGGATACTAACCTTTTATCCAATATGTCATATGTAAATATCTTCTCCCATTCAGTAGGTTGTCTTTTACTTTTGTTGATTATTTCCTGTGCTGTGCAGAAACTTTTTTTTTAAAGATTTTATTTATTCATTTCAGACACAGAGATACAGAGAGAGAGAGCATGAGCAGGGGGAGAGGCAGAGGGAGAGGGAGAAGCAGGCCCCTCCCAAGCCAGGAGCCCAATGTGGGGCTCGATCCCAGGACCCTGGGACCATGACCTGAGCCGAAGGCAAACGCTTAACCATCTGAGCCACCCAGGTGCCCTGTGCAGAAACTTTTTATTTTGATGTAGTCTTAATAGTTTATTTTTGCTTTTGTTTCCTTTGCCTCAGGAGATATGTCTAGAAAACTGTTGCTACAGCTGAAGTCAGAGAAGTTACTGTCTGCTCTCTTCTAGGATTTTTATGGTTTCAGGCCTCACATTTAGGTCTTTAATCCATTTTGAGTTTATTTTCCTGTATGGTGTAAGAAAGTGGTCCAGTTTCATTCTTTTGCATGTAGCTGTCCAGTTTTCCTAACACCATTTGTTGAAGAGACTGTCTTTTCCCCATTGCATATTCTTGCTTCCTGTGTGAAAGATTAATTACCATACAGTTGTGGGTTTATTTCTGGGCTCTCTATTCTGTTCCATTGATCTATTGGTCTATTTTTGTGCCAGCATCATGCTGTTTGATTACAACAGCTTTGTAGCATAACTTTTAATCTGGGATTGTGATACCTCCAGTTTTGCTTTTTTTTTTTAAGATTTTATTTATTTGACAGAGAGAGACACAGCGAGAGAAGGAACACAAGCAGTGGGAGTGGGAGAGAAGCAGGCTTCCCGCTGAGCAGGGAGTCCGATGTGGGGCTCGATCCCAGGACCCTGGGACCATGACTTGAACCGAAGGCAGATGCTTAATGACTGAGCCACCCAGGCGCCCCTTGCTTTTCTTTTCAAGATTGCTTCAGCTATTTGGGGTCTTTTGTTCTTACATACAAATTTTAGGATCATTTGTTCTAGTTCAGTGAAAAATGCTGTTGGTATTTTGAGGGGGATTGCATTAAATCTGTAGATTGCTTTGGGTAGTATGGACATTTTAACAATATTCGTTCTTCTAACCCATGAGCATGGAATATTTTTCCATTTGTTTGTGTCATCTTCAATTTCTTTCATCATTGTTTTATCAATTTCTTTCATCAGTGTATTATAGTTTTCAGAGTACAGATCTTTCATCTCCTTGATTAAGTTTATTCCTAGGTATTTTATTATTTTTGGTGCAACTGTAAATCAGATTGTTTTCTTAATTTCTCTTTCTGCTGCTTCATTATTAGTATATAGAAATGCAATGGGGGGCAGGCGCCTGGCTGGCTCAGTCAGTGGAGCATGCAACTTTTGATCTTGGGGTTGTGAGTTCAAGCCCCACATTGGACGTAGAACTGACGTTAAAAAGTGTTAAAAAAAAAAAGAAGAAAGAAAGAAGAAGGGGAGAAAGAAAGAAAGAAAGGCAACAGATTTCTGTATATTGATTTTGAATCCTGCAACCTTACCGACTTCATTTATCAGTTCTAGTAGTCTCTAGGGTTTTCTATATATAGTATCATGTCATCTGCAAATAGTGAAAATTTTACTTCTTCCTTACCAATCTGGATGCCTTTTATTCCTTTTTCTTGTCTGATTGCTGTGGCTAGGACTTCCAGTAGTATGCTGAATAAAAGTGGTGAGAGTGGACATCTTTGTCCTATTCCTAACCTTAGGGGGAAAGCTTTCAGTTTCACACCATTGAGTATAATGTCTGCTGTGGGTTTTTCACATAAGGCCTTTATTATGTTGAGGTATAGTCTCTCTAAACCTACTTTGTTGAGAGTTCTTTCTGCATCTATTGAAATGATAATATGGTTTTTGTCCTTTCTCTTGTTTGTGTGATATATCACGTTGATTGATTTATGAATATTGAACTACCTTTGCAACCCAGGAATAAATCCCCCTTGATCATGGTGAATTTTTTTAATGTATTGTAGGATTCAGCTAGTTAATATTTTGTTGAGGATCTTTGCATCTGTGTTCATTAGAGATATTGTAGTATATCTCTGTAGTTTTCTGTCTTTCTTTCTCTCTTTCTTTCTTTTTTCCTTTCTTTCTTTCTCTTGTAATGTTTTTATCTGGTTTTGGTATCAGGGTAATGCTGGCCTCATAGAATGAATTTGGAAGGCTTCCTTCCTCTTCTATTTTTTAGAATAGTTTGAGAAAAATAGGTATTACCTCTTCTTTAAATGTTTGGTAGAATTCACCTGTGAAGCCATTTGGTCCTGGACTTTTGTTTGTTGGGAGTTTTTTGATTACTGATTCAATTTCATTGCTGGCAATCGGTCTGTTCAAATTTTCCATTTCTTCCTGATTCAGTATTGGGAGGTTATATGTTTCAAGGAATTTATCCATGTCTTCTAAGTTGTCCAATGTTGGCATGTAATTTTTTATAATATTCCCTTACAATCCTTTGTGTTTCTGTGGTGTTGGTTGTTATTTCTCCTCTTTCATTTCTAATTTTGTTAAAACTTTAATTTTTAAATTTAAAAATGTATCAGGAATTTGTGAAGATCCTGCATATTGTCACATATCTTCAGTCATATTAGTACCCAGGAAACCCCTTTGACAGTAAAAAGCTAACATAAAATAAAGCAGAACAAAATATTAAGGCAGTAACTCCTTTTCTATCCATCACGACATGGTTATTTTTAAAGTAACTAAGAGGGGCGCCTGGGTGGCTCAGTCGTTAAGCGTCTGCCTTTGGCTTGGGTCATGATCCCATGATCCCATGATCCCATGATCCCATGATTGAGCCCTGCAGCGAGCCCCGCTGTGAGCTCCCTGCTCAGCGGGAAGCCTGCTTCCCCCTCTCCCACTCCCCCTGCTTGTGTTCCCTCTCGTGCTGTCTCTGTCAAATAAATAAATAAAATCTTTAAAAAAATAAAGTAACTAAGAATCCAGTTTCCAAAAGTGGGTACCCTGCTAGATTTCCTCTAATCAACCTTATCTTTGCCATTTCGGTTGTATGCCATGAGGGGGCAAACAAACAAAAGCAACTTGTGTACAAAAGTTTCTGCTGAGAATTATTTTTTCACAGTAAACTGAATTTGTCCCAGAGGATGTTGTAGCTGTGAAACTTTACAGAATTTTGGCATCTAAGAAGACTACATATATATAGGTCAAGATTTTTCTCTGGTAAAGCTTAAAGCAAGCACAGAAAATATTCTTGAGTTAATGCTTCAGGCTAAATTAATATAACATGTTGGGGTGCCTGGCTGGCTCAGTCAGTATGGCATGCCACTCTTGATCTTGGGGTCATGATTTCAAGCCCCATGTTGGGCATAAAGTTTATTTAAAATAATAATAATAATTAACATAACATGTTAAACCCAGCCTGAAGTTCTAGTGTAATTATCCAAGATTGCAATGTACAGCCAAGGGTGAGAACTAATGATGTGGAGGAAACAGAAGGAATTTTCTCCTGAACTGTATTAAACTAAATGCTGCACCTGCCCAGTTGGTTACGTTAAGAAATAACCCCTCCATTCTAACAGTACATCTATGCCTGGACTTTCATCTTGGTCTACTTTCTTATAGCTTCCTAGCAAAGTGCTTGTTGAAATGTCCAATCTGGTTTGGAAGAGAGATTTTTTCTGGACTTTGGTTGTGACAAGTGGGGGCCCCTCTGGTGGGGAGTACAACTCCAAGAGAGGTGGAGCAGTGGGGAGGGCAAGAACTGGTGTCAGCCTGGGCTGTCAACCCTCATCTAGGCCTCACTGGGTTAACTCCTGCTCTTTTGAGACTCCTTTCCACTGTTCAGTTTGCCTTTGATAATTGCTTTAAGCTGATTCCCCCTTCTCTCCCCATAGAGTCAGGGAGGAGAGGGGAGGCACTGCAATGCTGGATTTGCCACAAGGGTTTCCCTGAGCCCTGAACTGCTCAAGGCCTTTTCTGCCCCCAGGTACAATGCAGATGTGTTTTCTTTTTTCTCCAGTATGCACCAGGACACAACAGGGTATGTCTGCCTCCTCATTCAGCCAGCCAAGAAATCTGACGCTGGATGGTACACGTTGTCAGCCAAGAATGAAGCTGGCATCGTGTCATGCACCGCGAGGTTGGATATATACGGTAGGTGTAATGTCCTCAGTTAAACATCTGTGTGTGATAGACAGCTTAAAAGAATTTTTTAAAGGATAGGCGTAGTGTGTTTCCATAACTGAATTGGTTGGATTATATTTTAGTGCTTAAGCAATGGATTTTAAAAATCATTTCATTCTAGTCACCTCAGGGCTTTTGTACACGTTTGCATTTTACTATGAGCTTAAGCTTCTTCAAAAAAATGTCCTATAATATTAGGAATTACAGCTATTTCAGAATTTAACTGTGTTTATGCTTCTGATCATCCAACATCTCATGCTGTCTCCTTAATACCATGGGCCATCCACTGGAACTCCCTCCTCACTGCCTGTCATTCCCTGCAGACATACCTCCACCCAGCAGAATTTTCCTGCCCCCATTCATCTGTTAATTCATTCCACAAATACTTATTGTGCCAATCCCACAACCAGACTAATAATAGAGAGCTGTCCTAATAATAATATCAAATGATGTTTGTATAATGACTTGTAATTTACAAAATGGAACCCTTAGACCACCCCCAAACAATTATTGTAATTGTCATCGCCCTCATCTAAATGCTGAAGAAACTGAGACTCAGGGAGGTTAAGTGTCTCTAGCCAGGATGCAAATGCAGGTTTTTGTATCCTTCCTTTGAGCCGTATTTCTAATTTTCAAAAGAATTTAACAAGTTAGGGGTTCCTGGGTGGCTCAGTCATTAAGCGTCTGCCTTCGGCTCAGGTCATGATCAGGTCAGGACCCTGGGATGGAGCCCTGCGTCGGGCTCCCTGCTCTGCAAGGAGCCTGCTTCTCCCTCTCCCGCTCCCCCTGCTTGTGTCCCCTCTCTCGCTGTCTCTCTCTCGCTGTCAAATAAATAAATAAATAAAATCTTAAAAAAAAAAGAATTTAACAAGTATACTTTATTAATGTAATGTATCCTGCTCCTCTCCTCTATACTTTTGACATTAACTGATATTTTTCAAGATATATTCCTTAATCCAAAAGGGTGATTCTTTTTTTCCTCTCCTTTAAAATTTTTTTAAAAAAATAATTTAATAATTAATAAATTTCTTACTCATGACTGGTTCAACATGATTAACCAGAATAACAACTAAGAGTCACTGTGTCTAGAACCTGAGGTCCCTGCTATTCATAGGTGCATACTAGATATACCCCTAGGTAGACCATACAGGAGGGGCCTTGGCCTTCCATTTTTCCCTAGGTTTAATATTTGGAGGAAATACATAGGTTTCTGATTATTTTCCCTTATCCTTGGACTTGAAAAGAAATTCAACTGTGAGGGACACTGACTCTAATGTACTTTTCCCTGGTGAGGGAGTGGGGAGAGAGAGGCCATCGATATATTTAACCTAGTCTAAATCCCCTGTTCATTTCATCCACTTTCCCATGTCAGAGGGAAATAGTTCTCCAGCTAAGAAACTCAGTACCAACAAGCCCTGAAACTGGTAAGTCTTGTCCCAGTCTTGCTCTCCACTTCCCAGTTCAGTTTTCTGGGCTCACCTCTCCCAGGCTCCTGTCTTGATTGAGCAGCACCAACAATAAGGGGTGCTGTTTCCTCGATTGGGACCTGGGAGTGGAGGAGGGAATGGAGGACTTGGGCTAAAATCAATCCCCTACCCCCTCACCACTACCAGCACTACCACTTCCTGCCTGTCCAAGGAACCGGGACAGCAGATGGGCTCCCCTGTCTCATCCAAAGTAGGGCTTCTGCTAGAACAAAGTACAGTAGTCTGGTTAAGAGGTCTGGAGCCGAGACTTGACTATTCACAATGGCCTCACTGAGTACCTGCTCTTCAGTGGAATCACTGTAAGTTTTGTCCTCACTTTTGCAGCTTTCCAAATTTGATTTTGTCAATTCATTCAGAGGTATTTAGATTCTAAAAAAAACATTCAAAATAATGAAATCAACAAAGGTCCAGTTTGTAAATGAGAATGCTAAATAGGTCCATAGCTTTCTAGGATCCAGAGCATTCGTGATCCCCAACTGGTGCTCCCCCTTCTCCACACCAAGTCCCTAGAAACCTAATCAGAAGACTGCTTGGTAATTTCTGAATCAGACACAACAGCAGGACAAAGCAGTTTGGATGGATACTTCATTCAGGCATGTTCAAGTCTAAGGATCATCTCTGCCAAAAACAAGGTCTCCTTTAGACAGTACTTGCTGAACATGGAAGTTCTAATACATTCTCTTTTGTCTCTGAACCATGGTTGATTGCACACAAGTTATGTTTCAGTGTTCTTGCTACAACTCATTAGAACCTGATTAGGGTGGTGAGTAGGTAGTGGCTGATTAGTGATTAGGGTGTGAAATAGGTACTTCTAGACCCATCTTTTGGCTTCAATGCATTACCTCAGGTTTCTTGTCTCTACCTTCTGAGGTACCTGCCCTTGAGAGCCTGCAGCTCTTTCTACACTGCCACTGGAAGACTCCATGCTAGGTCAGTGGGAGGGAACATAAGAGGAGATATTTTGACAAATCACCCTATACCGCTACTTTTTTTTTATTTTAAGATTTTTTATTTATTTGAGAGAGAGTGAGCGAGAGAGAGAGCACAACAGGGGAAGCAGCAGGCAGAGGGAGAAGCAGACTCCCCGCCGAGCAGGGAGCCCGATGCGGGACTCGATCCCAGGACTCTGGGATCATGACCTGAGCCGAAGGCAAATGCTTAACCGACTGAGCCACCCAGGCATCCCACTACAGCTACTCTTATAGTCCCAGATCGTGGATTTTGGAATTAGGAGCGTAAGAGATCGCCAGCCCAGTTTGCCTATTCCTGGCAGGGGAGGAGAGATTTTATTGTTCTTTTGCAAATGACGCATTTCAGACCAGATATATTTCACAGAAAGTGTTTGAATGAGGACAGAATATACCCCTGCCTTGTACCCACTTGACTCCATTCCTTTGATTGTAACATGTTATTTGGTCCATTTTCCAGCTCAGTGGCACCAGCAGATCCCACCGCCCATGTCCATCCGGCCCGGTGGCAGTCGCTACGGATCTCTCACCAGTAAAGGACTTGACATTTTCTCTGCCTTCTCCTCCATGGAAAGCACAATGGTGTATTCATGCTCCTCTCGGAGTGTAGTGGAGAGTGATGAACTTTAGGAATGTCTGGGTGCCTGCTGTGTAAGGGGGCAGACTGTGGAGGGGGAAGGAGGACAAGCCAGACACAGTGGTTTCCAAACAAATAGATTTGAGTAAGTTCCCATGCTGCTGGGCCCGTGGCAAGAAGTGCTTTGAATAAGTCAGCTGGGGACTCTTGCAGTCTCAGCTGGGAGAAAGATGTAGGGCTGTGCCTTTTAAAGATTCCAACAAAAATGTGAGAAGACGATACAGATGAACCAAAGATGTCATGAAGCCATCCACTGCTTTGGGAAAAAGCTAGCATGATCCCTGCCCCCTGCTATGTTAGGGATATTTAGGCCCTACTAGGAGCAATGAGGGGCCATATGCTTGGGCTGAAAGGAGTTAGACTGTAGCGACCTTAGGTATCACTAACTCACCAAACAATGCAAAGGGAAAAGGTGGGGAGGTCTCCATTACCTTTCATCAATTACATCCATAGCAGTAGTTTTGACGGATTCATTTAATCAGCTTCTGCTTAACCTTAAGAGATCGTGCCATACAACTCACAGATGTGGAGAAGTACTTTTGATTTTCTTATCCTGAGTGTACTGAGCCACATCATAAGGTGCCAAAATGTGCTTGAGACACAAAAAATTGACTGAAACCCTCAATATTGCACAGTGCACTAGTTCTATAGCCAAAACAAGGCCCCATTAGCCCATCTGCACCATTTTCTTTTGGCTATCATGGTGAGTGGTTTTTCTTTCTGACTTTATACATCCCAAAATTCTAGAACTGAAAGGCTGTTAGTAAACCAACCAAAAAGAAATCTTCTGTGGGGTCACTTTTAAAACTACTAGCTTCGATTGCCACTTGCAAAATATGCAAGAGTTGTCATCATCTGCCCTTCCCCACTCCCCAAAAGTCTGGAAGTATATGAGGCAGTGAAGGAGGAAGAGATGCAAACAAGGAGAGGAAGTGGTAGGAGAGTGTTGTTTTCACCTGCCCTAGAAGAGCAGTGGGTGTGGAAGGAGACATCTTGAATAGGTATGAACTGTTTTTCAGATAATTTGCATTTTCTATATAGAAAACATCATGCTAACCAGGAAAGTAGGAGAAAAGGGGAATGTGCATCTTTGTTCTATCCCACCTATTCAAAACCTGCCTCTTAAGCAATTTTTAGACGTAAGTTGACTGCAATTATCCCCAGCACCTAGAAGAGTGCTTAGCACCGCATAGACATTCAATAGATATTTGTTGGATGAATGAATCTTACATTAGATAGGGAAATCTGCAATTCACACAGCACTCCAAAAATTGCCTTGGGAATGGTCATCACAGCACAGCTTGCTCCAGACTCACCTGTGAAATGAATTGGAGGTGTCTGTTACCAATTCCCTGTGCACAGGTGTCTGGCGTTCTCTGAGCCAGGCACCCTCAACTGGCATCTTACTCCAATGAACAAATAGTTGTTGTTTAGAAAGGCTTGAAATTTTCTTCACTTCAAGGAAAGGATTTCCAGTACAAAAATAAATTCATTCACTCAAAAAAAATCATTTGTGTGTCTACTCTGTATAAGATGCTATGTTAGAGACTTATGAATAAGACACAGTCCCTGACCTCAGGGAGCTTACAATCTAGTAGGGGAGGTAAGATGTAAGGCATAAAGAGTGCTGCTTTGGGTGGGGCGGGGGGGGGGGAATCTATTCTTTATCAAATAGAAGTTTCTCGTACTTTTCATCCTATGTTTTTATGACTCTAAAATCATCTTAATATTTTCAATCTTTATTTCTTAATGAAACAAAATGCCGTAGGTTACATCATTAAGAAATGAAGGTTTCAGTCAGTTATGCAGCGAAATTATTTGATTTGGTTTCCTTTTTTCATGTATTCAGGAACAATATAAAAAATATAGGCAACTGTAATGAAATAGTATACGTTTCATGCAGAATGCGTCCTCTAAAATGTTCCGTTGCCATGGTGGCTTCTATTATGAAATCTCTTCTAGCCAAAGAGAACTTTCTAACTCCAGGATTGTTCCTTCTTGGTCGTTCAGCTGACCTACCCATCACATCTATTTCTGTAAACCCTAAATAGTCTCCCCATGAAAGGATATTTTTCACCTCTATATGTCTTAGCTTTCTGGATACTTTTTATCTGTTGCTTTCTAGTGTTCACGGGAGAATTAGGATAAATATTATATTTGACCACTGGATGGCGCTGTCTAACCTAAAATATAAGAAACCTAAAAATCCCTGAAATTGGAGATGCTGGATTATGTCAATGCAGGCTTTCTGAACCTCAGCATCATTGACATTTTGGGGTGTATAATTCTTCATTGCAGGGGACTGCCCTGTGCAGTGTAGGATGTTTGGTAGCATCACTGGCCTCTAACTAGATGCCAGTACTATTAGTGGCCCATCCCCAGGTTGTGGCCACCCAAAATGTCTCCAGACAGTGTCATATGCTTCCTAGGAGGCAGAATCCTCCACCATTGAATGGATCAGTGCCCTGCTTTGAGAATTCCATTAGAAATCAATTATAATGAGGGATACTTATATAAGAAATTTTGCTTCTGCTGGATATGTTTGGACTCAACATGTCCAAAATCAGATTCATCATCTTCCCTTTCATAAATCATTCTTCAGCCTCGCTTACTGATTTCTATTAATGGCACTATCACATTCCTAGCAATCCAAATAAAAAGCATCCAAGTCAAGTCATTTTTTGCTTCCTCTAGCCAATCAATCACCAGATCCCATTAATTTTATTATTTCTTTTACATTCAGCCCTTCCTTTCCAACTCCCTGCAGTTCTCCCGTTCACACTTGCATTATTTTATTAATTCCCCTCAATATTTCTGACTTCAACTGTAATAAACGACTTCTAAGTGGCCTTTCTGCCTCTGTTCCTGCCGTTTCTCCCACCCAAATCCAGCCCAGATCTCAGTGGCAGCTCTTTCTTCCTGAAGTACTGCTCCACGTCTACTATTCCCCAATTTCAAACCCCCAGTGGCTCCCCAGAGCCAAATCAGGTACCCACTCTTCTACTCTGTGGTAGTCAAGGCTCGCTCCAATGTGATGCCAAAGCTTTTCAACGCATTCCTCAGAAAAGACACCCAATACAGCAACAAACCTAACACAGGCCCCTGGTTCCAGCTACATGCTTTTCTGTTGTCTCTACTTGGAAGGCTCTTTCCTCACCTCCACCTATGGCAATCTTATCTGTTCCTTAAAGCCCATCTGAAATGCCGCTGCCTCTGCGAACTATTTTCTGATCCCCCAGACCCCACCCAAATACAATTCTACTTTCTTTGAAAACTTATAGCCAGTTTCTTGAATCTGGAAGAAGAAAAGATGACCTTGTATAGTATTTTATATAAAACATAGCCTCTGTACACCTGCCTGTCCCCTCCCCTTGCACTAGCCAGTCTTGCCCACACTAGGTTTTAGCTACTGTTGGTATGGACTGTGTCAAAAGTTTGTCATGTACCTTATACAGAGCAGGCATTCAATAAATAGTCGTTGACCTAAACTGAACTTTAAATTTCTATGTAAGTCGATATGTTTCTATATAAAGTGAATTGAGTCTAGAGCAGTAGTTCTTAACCTGGGCTGCATATCAGAATCTCCTAAAGAGCTTTTAAAAATCTTGATACCCAGGCCACAACCCCAAATCAGTTAAGTCATAAAGCTCTGGAATTGTGGCATAAGCATCAGTATTTTTTAAAGCTTCCCAGGTGATTCCAAAGAGCAGCTGAGATTAAGAAGAATAATTTCGGAACTTACCCATAATGGTCCAAAGGGATGCAGATGGCATAAAGTTGTAGTTTTGGCACTTGGTGAAGAACATACTCCCGCCTTGTGGTACATGCAGTGCATGCCTAGAAAGTAGAAATAAACACACACTTTGGCCTTATTAGACCCTACTATTTTGTGCAACACTCATTAGACATGTAGCATTCATGAAGCCCCCAGAGGAAGCTCAAAAACCTGCAAAAATGGACCAGGGAAAGAGGGGAAGTTGATACAATTTGTCTGACCCTTTGTTTCTAAAAGCCATACAGGTCCCATAAGCACTCTTCTCTCCAAACAACTTGAAGGGCGTTTCATAATTTGATTAGTCATGGAAATGGGGATCAAAGGGGAAAATGGAGAAAGGAAATGCACCATTTAAATGAAACCGCCTTTTTGAAACATAGCACCCTTCGCTAAAGGAAGGTTTTAATCAGAATTACCAAATAGTGGAACTGGTTTCAATGCATCTTTCTCTTTTTATTCCTAACTTTTGTAGGCATCCAATGAGAAATCACATAGTTGAGAGACCAGCAGTAGATAGAGCCAGAACTCTGAATGAAACATACCATAGGGAATAACTCCCAGAGGAGTCAAAAGCTGACTTATATAGGGACAGATTGACTTGGATAATCCTCAAATGACAAATGGGTTGCTTTCCAGATGTTCACTTATAAATTGGTTGTTTAAAACTCCAACAAATGTATTTCCTTACACATACAACACACAAAGCTAGATTTCCTAAGTGAACTCAGTAAAGCCCATTTAAGTGGGTCTACTTGTTGTAATTGTACTTTACTAATTGACTGAGTTACAATATCCATTACACCTGATTGGGTTATGGTCCCAAGAACAGGATCCAGCCAAAGCAGCCAATAAGAGAAGAGAGATTACTTCCTCCTTTTTTGTATCTACAATGTGTCAAAGCTAAAGCGTGTCTAAGGTCCTCTGCATCTATCCCCCATTCTGTGTTTTTCTCCCCAGATACCCTGTGCTCCATGTTCTATAATCCCCCTCTGTGATAACCCATCCCATCTCAGCCTGCCACCATGCTTCATGCTCCAAAATGGCCTAACTCCAGTTCCAGGCGTCTGGGCCCAATGGTCAGAAGAAAGCAGTCCAACTGAACGAATTCCGAATGCCTGAGAGTCTTTTAACTTCACAGAGGGGCTACATTTTTTTTAAAGCAGTTGCCTTCTTCCTCCCATCAACTTCTGATTGACAGAATTGCTGACAAAGTAAAAA